ATACTCAACCAGAGACCGACGAGTCGTTGATTGATATCAACCCGACTGCTACCGCCGAATATGAGATACAAGAAATTCAACAAACGAAAACTGACGAGACGTTGACAGCCGATCTCAATACTACGGCTGTTGCTGAAGATGTGACACAAGAAATCAAGGCTGATGAGACGTTGACAGTCGATTTCAATACTGCTGCTGTTGCTGAAGATGAAATTGTTTCCAATAATCAAACACAACAAGAAATTGAAACAAAGGAGACGTTGACTATCGATATAAATACTACTGCTGCTGGTGTGGCTACTGTCGATGAAATTCCTTCCGTTGAACATACTGATCACCAATATGCTCAAACTGATGACGCTATTATGTTTGATATCAATAATGCTACCATTGCTGAAGATGAAATCAGTTCGAATAAGCAAATTCGACCAGACGATGCATTATTGAGCGTTACGGAAACTGACATTATTTCGGATGATCAGATTTACCGCCCACAATTCGAGAATACTTTGCTAGATAGCTCACTAATTGATGAGCAACCAGCACTAAATATAGACTCGCCGCCTACACCGCCAAATCTAGTTGCTCCTTCTCCAAAGCCAGCTATGTCGCCATCAAATCCGGTTACATCGCCAAAGCCTGTCACTCCTCCAGTCACACCCCCTCCTTCTCTGGCCTGTTTTTGTTCAGTACAAACTCAGACTGATCCGATAGAATTTGTTGAACTTGTAAAATGGTCTAATCGAGATGCTGTGTCTAATCTTTCTGATGCCTTTACCACTACGCCTAAAACATCAACTTTGACGGAAGACATGAAATCCCGTTTGATCAACATAATACAATCTAGCGGGAAGCCTGCTCCGGATCAGTGGGGTGTGCCGGTTGAGAGTGTTAAGCCTTCTGGAGATGTTTCCAACCCCAAACCATTCTCTAGTTTGACTGTGAATTATTCCGGTTCAGATGGTGATTTTTGGAATCAGACTCCTGTTAATAAGCCTGTGAATCGGCTCAATCTGGATAACGATTTTTGGAATACTGTTCCGACTACTAGCAAGTCGGTAAATCTGGATAACAACGCTTTGAGTCCTACTTCACTGGCGAGCAACCCTATGAAGCAACCCACTCCTGACAGTGATAGTTGGGGTCCTGATTCGCCTGCTAACAAGCTTACAGGTCAGCCTTCTCTTGATAATAAACCTACAAGTCAATCTACTTCGGTCAATGACGCCTGGAACAAACCTACAAGCCAGCCAATTTCAAACGTTGATGGTTGGGGTTCTGCTGCACCTTCTAGTAAACCCACGAATCAGTTTACTCCGGATGTTGATTCCTGGGGTCCTGCTTCAACTACAAATAAAATTATTGATGATACTTCGTTCACTAGTAAATCTGCGAATCAGCCCTCTGCGGACAGTGATTCTTGGGGTCTTACTTCAGATACCAAGAAAAGTGCGGAAAGTGCTTGGACCACTACTCCATCAGCTAGTAAACCCGTAGAGCAGTCTGCTCCGGATGGTGATTCCTGGGGTCCTACTTCAACTACAAATAAAATTGTTGATGACACTTCGTTCACTAGTAAATCTGCGAATCAGCCTTCTGCGGACAGTGATTCTTGGGGTCTTACTTCAGATACCAAGAAAAGTGCGGAAAGTGCTTGGACCACTACTCCATCAGCTAGTAAACCTGCAGAACAGTCTGCTCCGGACACGGATTCCTGGGGTCTTGCTTCAAATGCCAATAAAAGTGTGGAAAATTCTTGGGGCCCTGCTCCGTCTACTAGTAATGATGCTTCGAGTCCTGACAAGCAAACGCCTGCCTGGACTTCGGCTCCATCTACCGATCAAAGCAACAATCTAGGTGGGAGTGCTTGGGGTGCAAAACCAACTTCTGACTCTTTCGATGTCACTCCTACTGATACTTTCGGCGGCGAATCAAACGATTGGATGAAGCAGGCGGCCGCTTTTTCAAAAGAATTAGGCAATGATGTTAGCTCGGCTGGAGGAGCTTATGAGACGAACGAGTTTGACAGTAATGCTGATTTGCATAAGACATCGGACACGGATTGGCGTAACGATGAACGTAAGGAGAAAGGGTTCGATAACAATTCTAATTTTCGTAGAGATGGTGGTTGTAGAAATTGCGGCGAAGATGGTACGAGATTCGAATGATTATGAATGCTTAACGTATTGTTTGCTTATTGTTGTGAACGGTCTCATTGATATGCTTGACGTGTTATATCAGGACATTTTGCTCGTGATTGTCCTGAAAAGGCTTCTGGCTCACTATGGTATGCATTATATAAGTCATTAGATTACAACACAACATGTTATTAATTAGTAATCGCATTGCTTATTAGCTACAACTGTAATCAGTCTGGTCATATATCAAGAGACTGTCCTGAAAAGAGTGTGGATAACCGTTCTTGGTACGCGTTATATGTATCAATCTTATATGTTTATGAAACGTTCGTTATCATTGGATAATTGTCTTCTTATTCTTGTATTTGTATTAGCTACAACTGTCATAAAAGCGGTCATTTGTCAAAAGATTGTCCTGAACGGGGCTCTACTTCTGATGCGTCGTATCAGAGACCAAAGGTTACCCCATGTAGGTGTTAATATAATACCACCCCCCTTCCATTACTAGATCGTTTATTTATTTGTTATTATTTATACTGTAACCGTTCACAGGGTCTAAGCACGGTCCGGCGAACATGACAGCCGAAGAAGCTTGGAGTGCAATGATGACTGCAGATAAAGATAGGGACATTGATGATTTCAAGGAAGCATTGGAAGAATTTACGAAAGCATCGCCTAGTGAGACGTTTGTAACGATCGAGAAGAAACTCAGAGAGAATAGATGTAATGCGAGACTAGTAGCATTTGTAAGTTTTATTGATACTCTAATATCAATGAATGCGGAAGTCGATATATAGGGCTGCAAATACTTAAATTCGGTTTACCTTGGATTACTTTCATCTGTGCGAATCTGCCGGTTCTTTAGCGTCGAGATATTCCCTTACAGAACTGTCTAATCGACTACCAAGGAAATATGGACAAGACTTACGTCATGAATGTCATTATGGGTTCTCCCGACGTTCTGGCAAAAACCGTTGGGGAGCGTCCAAATTCAGAAGAAGAAAATTTGAAATGGTTAGCAGATGCTGGAATTTTGAGATTTACTCCAGAGCCTATTTGTTATAATTGTGAACAGAAAGGGCATGTTACGAAGTATGTTTGAGAAATGGTGGTTTATTTATTAAGATTCAGGTACTAATAATGGTTTTTACTTTCAGAGATTGTCCGGAGCCTAAGAAAGGTATACTTGAAAGATTTGTTTTGAGAGAAAAGCTGCATTGATATGATTAACATTTATTGTATGATGTAGATGTCGAACGCCATGTACCGCTCAGTTGTCAAAAATGTGGATCTGCTGACCATATGACAAAGTAAGTGCATTTGTAATAATTTCGAAACTTGCAGCATTGAAGAATAACATGGAAGTTCATCTTAGGTTTTGTAAAGAACCGCGATCTGACTTTCAATCTGAAGGTATGTGTTGTATAATTGCGGATATTATCAAGTGAATTAATATTCTCTAATTTGATTTAACTTTCTCTAGCGCGTGATCGAAAAAGCGAATCGCGCAGGTAAAAGGCGTTCATTGTTCCGTTGAAGCTGATTAATTTAATTCCAGGGCTGATCAATTATTATCAATGCAAAACAGGTTCGGAGAGGACGATTGGAATAAACCATGTAAGCCACTTGAAAGCATATAAATTATACTGTTTGCGTCTTAAATACCATTAATGTCAATTATCGTAAATTTATTTCTCATTTCGCATGACCAGCATTTTCTATGGATAGTGGTGGATTTGATGACAAGGGACGGAGCCGATCTCGCTCAAAGCCCTCTCAGACATGCCACAAGTGTAACGGCGAGGGACACATAGCCAGGGAATGCACAGAAGGTGGGACCGGCAATTATCAAGGATTTCGCCGTAATAATAGCAGAGATGATGGAAATGATGAGTACGGTTCTCGCCATAATAATAGCAGAGATGATGGAAATGCTGAGTACGGTTCTCGCCGTAATAATAGTTACGGAAATAGCTACGATCGCAATAGCAGAGATGATGGAAATGCTGAGTACGGTTCTCGCCGTAATAATAGTTACGGAAATAGCTATGATCGCAATACCAAGTCTTATCCTAACGAGCCATGGGCTAAGAAAACGGATACAGAATGGAAAGCAGGGCCAACGGCTCGTACCAACGATGATAATTGGGAGCCCTCTCAGGGACACACAGCCAGGGAATTCACAGAAGGTGGGACCGGCAATTATCAAGGATTTCGCCGTAATAATAGCAGAGATGATGAGTACGGTTCTCGCCGTAATAATAGCAGAGATGATGGAAATGCTGAGTACGGTTCTCGCCGTAATAATAGCAAAGATGATGGAAATGCTGAGTACGGTTCTCGTCGTAATAATAGCAGAGATGATGAGTACGGTTCTCGCCGTAATAATAGCAGAGATGATGAAAATGCTGAGTACGGTTCTCGCCGTAATAATAGTTACGGAAATAGCTATGATCGCAATACCAAGTCAGGGCCAACGGCTCGTACCAGCGATGATAGCTGGGGTTCGAAGCCGCAGCAGCCTTCGAGTACGAGTGCGCATTGGGACTCGAATTATGGCACTAAGAAAGAAGATAGCTGGGGAAGCAATAAAGGCGATAGTCATAACCGTGCATATGGTGGTAGCAAACAGGAATGGAACTCGTACGAGAGTAAAGAGGAAAATTATTCGCTTAATCGTGGTAGAAACCAACAGACCAAGGAGGTACTCTCTGGTAGGGGTGACGTTCTTGAACACCAAGGGGAACAAGATAGTTATCGACCTAGGAGGAAAACTAGTGGGGATGAGCAGCCATCATTAGTAGCCGATCCTTGGTGGTAGTGGATTGGTGGGGACGGTTAGTAGGTGATTAAAATGACCAAGAGTGATTTTTAGTTTTTCAATTATTACTTTAATTTGTCTATATCTCTTTTCAATAAACTACTCTTATTGAGTATTAAAATTAAAGGCTTGCTCATGTACTCGTCACATGTTCATAACTAGCCAGAAGACTCTGCTCAAGCATAGATGCTAATGTTTACAGAATGCTTAAAATGAAGAACCTACCAATCGGCAGTCATTTTATTATCAAATCTTTCTTTAGGTTATCAGTGCTTCGGAACTCTTAAACCAGACAAAGATCAATTTGGAATAGTTGAAGTGCAAGTAGCTCAGGGATAAGACTAATATTGTCACTCACAATCTGCTGAAATTCCTGCATAATTATTGATGCAAGCGTGGTAGCTAAATTTATCGAAACCTTTACGTTCGCGTAACGTATTAATTACAATATGTTCCCCGCTATTATATTTAACCATGAAACATAACCACGGGATAATTTATTTTTTGTATAATATTTACGTTGTAAACATTTTACGGACGTAAAAACGGATATACAGTCCCGTCTCATCAGAACATAATTAATTTGTTCGCGTCTGCTTTATCTTGAATACCAATAAAAGCGGTTTGCGCGGACTGAGATAATAAACTTACTTACCTGTTGATCAGAATAATCTTTTATTTTCAGTTACTAGATAATATAAATTATCATCCACTAATTTATACTGTAATCCATTCTGCTTTAAATGTTGACAAGTATCGCATAAATAGTACGAAGAAAGAGAAAGTTCTTCACGGCTGTAGCAATGTCAACGGCTATTTTGGTCTTTCATCGCGGTACTCTTTTTACATTACCATGAATACGTGATAGTATTGTATACCATTTGTCGCCAGGTCGTTTTCGAAGTAAGCGTGGCCAATTCCTGATACGGGATCAAATACCACAATATAAGGCGAGTACTTATTAGTGCTTTCTCACTAATAATACTCAAACGCTCACAATATAAATAAAGATTATACACGTACATTTGTAATACCAAATCTCGTAGTATAATTAATACTCTAAGTAATTTGTAATGTGAGGATTGCTGCGTACTTTCGTGGTCATTTCGCTAATAAGGAATAACACAGAAACCTACGCGTTATGACAATACATATCGTTTCTAATTTACAGATATCGGTGGAACTATGTGCAAAAAGCGAACGATGGAATAATTACAAGATTAAAATGAATTAGCGCAATGCTATTCTCTGTTTATACTAGAAAGCCAAAGCGCGAAAAAGTTGCTACAACCTTCGTACAGGAATATCTAAAAATAAAAATGTAATAAGCAGTCTTTTTGGAATGTATTGCAGCAAGAGTTTACGTGCGCTTTATTGCCAAGCTATTTAGTTTACTTTGCTTTTTTAATGCATTATTATTATCAGCCACATTGAGATTTTCAAGCCACACTATCCGTTTATGGTGAAAAGTTCATTTTCTGATTCTGCCCATATTAATATTTAATAGCTAGATTAATTGGTCTTCCAGCCACACCATCCATTTATGGTGAAAAGTTCATTGTCAGATTCTGTCCCAACAGCAGATCTGTGAAAAAACAAAGTTGACAGACTTGTCTTACCCTGCCCCTGAAAATATTTGCTAATCTTATTTATACTACGTATACTCTCATTGTCAGTTGAATTCTTTACTAGCTAGCATACATTCTCTTCAAAACTCTTATACTGCGTATATTTATGTTAGCATATATTTTGTTAAACCTGATTGATCAAATATATACATGCTTGTTCCAGCTGGATACAAAGACTACAAAGTCGATAAGAACTTCAATACCGTAGACAAGTTTTTCTACGCACAACCCTTAGAAATATGGAATGATTTCGATGCTTTTGCGAACGAGGTTGCAGGTACATGCTCCACACCCGACACCATATTCAAATTGTACTGCAGTTCTCTGAAAACTCTAAGACATTCGACACGGATCCCGAAGAGCGTTCGCGACTACGCCGGTGCATTACATGATTTAATTAGAGTACGTAGAAGGGGAAGCAAGTATATAACAAGGATCACTAATTCTCAATTGTTTGAATAGTCAACAAAAAGGGTGCGTGTGTTTGAGCAAGCAAGGCTTGCAATCGCGACTGCATGTGACAAGTCGAAGACGGCTGCAGCACAGGTGAGCTGGTAAAGAGATAACGAGGATATTAAAGTATAGGGCAAGTGTGGTCTTAACGCATTTTCCTTGCACAAGGCATCAACGACTGGCATACTGAAAAGGTCAACCTACGCAGCAATGGCAGAATTCGGGATTGAATATACCAGATCAATCAAGAAGTCGCGAACTAGTACGAGACCGGAGGAAGAGAATCCTGTAGAGACGAAGAATTCGGAAGAGCCAGAAAACTTTGGGGAGGCACGAGCAGAGGAAACAGCAGGTCCAGAAGTGGAACTAGCAGAAGACGAAGACGACCTAGACGTGTTATGGGAACCAGAATCTCCATTTATTGACAAACTTCGAAAAATTCTCCGGGACATGTCAAAATCGAACAATTATTTTGATAAAAAGTAATACAATCTATTTGCGACTGTTTGTAATTTGTTTATTTTTTTCTTACATGAATTCTGACACATCCTCTCGTCTCTTGGTAGACTTGCTCAGAATGGAATAATCCGCTTGTCATCTCGGAAAGAAGACGAACCATCACAAATGAAGAATGAAGTGAAAAAGAGGCTAACAGATGACGAAATTAATTCCCTCAAAAGTATGCTACAGATATCTGGCGTGGATGCGTTGGATGGTTATATAGACTTATCGGCGGTATGCTACAATTCTTATCATAACTAGCTTGTAGAAGTGTGACAGTATGACAAATGACAAGATTATTGCTGATCTCTGACAGAGGACGTTACCTGAAATGAGGCAACGACTTGATAACTGTGGGTCACCAACAAGTGAACAGTGTCGGGCAGTGAGATCTCTTCAGGACCTTTTGTGAGTACATGCTTTTTACAAGACTGGATTTGACATGTCATTGACGGACTTTATTTTAATTGTAGTATTACTGGTTTAGAAGGCAAAGCTGACCTGCTGTTTTCAATGCCGGAGCGAACGTGGACGGTCAAATACATTGCACCCTTATTCGAACGTTGTCTTGGAGATGCACATCATCTGACGTCCTTCTGGTTAGTTGTGCAGGCGTATAAGTAATCATGCTTTTGCACAATTTATCATTTACTAAAACTTCATATGCATGCTATTAGGTGTGAAAAGGGAGATGTAGATGTTGTTAAGAGTCGCGAGAAAGAGCACAACTTGTGGGATGGAGTGTTCTGCGATGTGGAGGAAACAAAGAAACCACATATGCTTCTGGTCGAAGTTTCGGGGGGGACGGATGGTGTTTCGAAAAAGAAGGCTGAAGGCGATCTATTAAAATTAGCGAACGGAATGAGGCGTCATCTCATTAGAGTTGGATGTTGTATAAGAGGCATTGACATAACACGCTGTAGAGAACTTCGGGTCGCTGGGGTTCACATAATAGGTAAGACTGTACAAAGTAAAGTCGTTGCAAAACATGTGCTAGTTTTCATTAACGCTCTATTAATATGTAATAAAGCCAATGTATTATACTTTCAGGCCATGATGATGATTGGAAAGGGGGTTTTTGTAATGTGGGAATGGAGCAATAAGAAGATACCCCGTTCTATCCAGGATATGTGGAGCCTGCCAAGCACATTGGGGTCAATATATACATTGAAGGTGTGTATTTGCGATCCCGATGTTTTATGCTAATAATACCTTGTGATGACAAGCAACGTGTTGGTTTCTTGTATAGGCATTGCTTATGAGAACGAAATCTATTATCGTCGATTCAAAGTATACAGAGTCAAAGACTTATGAATTGGATCATTCAACCGGACTCTCGTCTCCCGCTCGTGAGACTGATACGCCTTGGGAGTCGTACTTCGATCTATGACAGGTAGATAACGATATTTGATTGTATAGGCAATCTCAAGGATGAATGTATATATGTGTGTGTCCGTCTGTGTGTATGCGTAGTTATCACCAACGTAATATATCTCGTATCTGATGATTAGGTTTAGTACTCTCGAACTTTGTTCTTGACCGCTTGTGAACTGCAAACGACGACATATCATGCAACAAAGTCAAAGGATGATCAGGTGTTCAAGAATTTTGTATTTATTATTCTGTAATAATTAGTTCATTCGAAATTAATGAATTGCTACAACAGGAAATAGAAAAGTGAACATTACAGGAGTCTTATTAAACGCTGACTAGTGCTTTATAAATTAATTATGCGAGCTTTCGGTAAACTGAAAATCAATAAAATTGCTTTTTATCCGATCGTATAGACTTCTAATAAGACATTTTCATAAGAACACAAGCAAGGAGGATTGAACATAGAAAGTAATCTGTGAAAAAAGATTTAATAATTCACGACTACTAACAGAATTTGTTAACATCTGAGAAAATAACATTAGTTGCGCGAGTCTCTCTTTCGGACATGAAGCACGTATACTATTGCGGATAACCAGATGAGAGTATCATCCAAATTCAGAAAATTCTGAGCCTTACATGAGACATACTTATCTTTACAATTATTACTTCTATTACTTCTGTTATTATTTCCGTTCTCTTTATCTCAGGTCGTTCTCGTTAGTAGCTGACGGACTTACGAGTGGGCAAGTTCATGTCCACACTCTTCGCCAACCACTTAACTCAAAGAAGTATCGGGAAAACATTCACTCGGAATGCATTACTTATAGAGATGCAAAGAATAAAAGACTTTCAAAGAAGGTTGCGCTGAGGACTAGTGAGCACCGCTACGCGCAGCGCGCAGCAGCTCAGCTAACAGTTCTCACTGAAGAGACTATTACCCTGCATCAGTACTTCCGCTGGATCCCTACCAGGAGGGCTGCGAACACGGTTTCGTTTACAGGGTCAGAAAGCTGAACTGCCTCACCGTCTTCCTAAGGAAGGAGCACCCCAAATTTCTTGCATCAGTACTCCCGCTGGACCCCTCCAGGAGGGCTGCGAACACGGTTTCGTTTACAGGAAGTAGAGTTCCTCCCTTAGCAGCAATGGCAACCATGTTTAACAAGCTTGAAGCAGAAAGAAATGATAACAGTTAACGCTGCAAAAGTAGCCACTTACCCATGACTGATTATTACAGCGACCGATGAGTATGGGCGTAAAGACTTTGATCATGTGATCTGAACCAACCAAATCAACGCTTGAACAATATGATTATTAATATTGTGGACACAAAGAATTCTATACTAATACTACCATATTAATATATTTATCTTTACGCCCTGGCATATTATAATAATATATACTCAAATGTCTACAATGCGACAACGAAAGGCGGCGAATTCCAGCAAAGGTACTTTGAAGCAAAAAACCTCAAGAAGGAAAAAAAAAAAAGTCTGGTGAAGGTATGAACTGCAGTTTATGGTCGAACGACAAGTGCTAGAAAGGTTCACTGGGAAATACAGAACCTCTGTCATCGATATCAGAGTTGCAAGCTTTCGTCAAGCGACAAGGGTCCGAAGAGGAGAAATTATTACCTGGGGAATATTATTTCAGAATAAGGAATTAAGAGGAAAAATCCCATCACTATTCGGCTGCCAGGTCCTGAAATCCAGTTGAGCTGTTATTTCTCTGAAGCTTGTTTCTACTTCTTGTGCTTCGTCCGAATCCATGCGTTCTTAATATTGTTGCGGCTGCTCATTATTTGTTGCTATTGTTCCTGACACTTCGCCTGAATCCTTCCTTGTCCACCCATTGCTTTTGTTTCCTTGCACTCTGCCATATTCACATAACCATTGCATCCGTCTTTCTCTTCCTTTCGCTTGCGACCGCCCAAACCATCCCACCAATATTGATATAGATAAAGATCGCAGGGAATACATTGATGATCTGCTTGAATTATGTAAGGCGTCGAAAGAAGATTCTTTTACAGATAGTGTAGATTTGAAGCTGTTACCATGTCCTCTCTCCCTCTCTAATGACCTTGGGGTCTCCAAAGGATATGTAAAGTTTATTACGGATCGGCAAATCAGCTATTGAACCGATATTTTTCATAGATTGCCAATAAATTTTACATTGTTCACCCATTGGTCATTATTATATTACGTGACATCAAATCTCGCGTGAATTGTTTACATGCTTTGATTTTTTACAAGCGTGCCCAAGACAAGAGAATTGTCTGAATTCGAACGAGGTTGTATAATTGGTGGTCCCGAACTCGGTCATTTTTGCTGAAACTGCAAGAAAGTGTGGAATCACGATGAGTCTAATAAGGCGAATCGTCCAGAAATACAACGAACATAAAACGGTTGCTAATTTGAAGGGAAGAGGTCGAAAAAGACTCTTAAATGAGAATGATGTTCGGCAGTTAAAACGATTGATAACAAGTACCAAATATAGACACACGATGGAAGAACTGAAGTTGGGCTGATAATTACGAATTCACGGTATTCTTAAGCATGCGGATGTACGATTGCAAGTGATCGGGAGCAAGCATTAGCTGAAATTACGAATACATTTAACCGGGTATTATGGATGTCTAGCTAAGAAAAAGCCATTGGTTTCAGAAGCCAATAAAAAAACCGATTAGAATTTGCAAGGAACACGGAACACTACACTGAACTATTCATAAATGTCTTTTATTAAAATTGTCTATCCCCTGCTGTAAAGCATGCTCCGGGAGTGATGCTTTACAAGAACTGAGGTTGGGCCATTAGTGATACTTGAAAGGATCAGTAACAGCTAAGGTCTATGCGAAGCTGCTCGAATGTTGTTACATTCATGAGAAGACTTGGAAAAGCATGAATTTTTGTTTGATGCCCCCAACCAATGTGAATTATAAATATGTTCTAGTTTATTAACTCTAAATTACAAACGGGGTAATAAAACTTTCGCTTAGTAGGAACTTTAACTTCGCCAAATTATGCCTTTCTGGGAAAAGTGAGGCAGTCTTTGTGATTTTGTTGCTTGAGAATGAATTGTTTTAGCATTAGCACTCTTATTAATAATTGCATCTATAATTATAATAAGGAGTTGTTAGGTCCCCCCAGTAGCATCCGTCGTACGCAATACAACATGAAACATGACTCCAGATACTAAATTCGTCTAAATTCATATTATTGTTTGCAATCATGATGCACTTTATGTACACTAATATTATTGTTATTATTAATATTATATAAAGCCTTTTCTCGCATAATATATCTGTCAAATTGACATCTATGGTGCTAATTATAACTACGCAGATTTAATATATATTTGCCTTTCACTCATTCGCCTTCGTTAGGGTTTGGTGCATTCTCAGTGTTTGCAGCCGATGGTCGCGATTTCCTAATCTTTTTCTTCAACTTCCTCCATTTCCCACTAGTTAGGTTCATTTCGAAGACTATTGTCTCTCTAGTTTCTTTACCCAAAATAGGGTCTGTAATCCGAGTTTCATGCATATTAAACCGAAGAACGGAGTCGCCAGGATTCGGAAGTGTATCCTGGCTACCACCATAATTTCCTAGCGTGAATTGTTTCTCTATAAAAATCCACAAAGTAAATAAATAATGACATAAGTTAACAACGAATTCTTTTAGAAAGTATCGAAAATAGCAAAACTCACCAAGAAACTTGATTATTGTGGCTTTGTCCTCCTCGGATAACAGACCACACTGATTGTTTAGTACAGTCTGTACCATTGAATCAATTTGCTCCTTCGGTAATATATTCGTCTCAGACAATTGTGTTTGTGTGTTTTCCGAAACTTGCTCAACTGCCGCTAACAGACTGTCCGGTTTTTGCGCATCCTCTTCGTTTTTCGGGACGTTCGTTGGAGGAGGTGACGTCGGTGACGTTGGAGAAGTTATAGTTAGTTGTGAAGTTTTGTGAGGCAGCTCACTGTCTGATACAGGTTCTTCCAATGAAACATCCTCTGCAACTGCAAATGGCATATGTTATCAGTAACGGCCCTATCGTAGTTGAAGTAATATTAAAAAAAAGAAAAAGAACGCTACCACTATTTATTTTTCTTTTCTTGATGCGCACGCCTGCAAATCCAAAACAAAAACACTGTCAATAAAGTTTTCAAATATTTCTACGAAAATCTAACTATGTGTGAAAAACAACACCCAAGTATAATGCTCACTTACCCTGAGCGTTATTGGCCGCATTATTGGCCGCATCTGCTTGAGCCTCCATTCGTGCAGCAGCTCGTTGTTTCTTCTCTGTTTCTTTTTGTAATCTCGCTTCTTCCCGCTGTCGAATTTTTTCGTTTCTTTCACGCTCTCGTTGTTGCCGACGTTCTTCTTCTTCACGTCGTTTTTCTTCTTGTCTTTTTTCTTTTTCTATACGCCGCTTCTCTTTTTGACTTTGTTCCTCTATCGAACAAGAAAAAAAAATACTTGAGTTAGTAACGTCAGTGTTACGGCCTCGAATGAAATATCAATACGTACCCATCTGAGTTTTTTTAATGCTTTCTTGTTGGTTTTTTATTATAGATGAGCCTACCGATATATCAAGCATCTGAATCTTGGATTGTTTCGGAAATGTCTTTCCCGTTGTTATTATATCAGTTGGCGAGTTCATAGCCTTAACAACACCACTCGACCCTAATTCATGTAGAAACAAAGAAACATGAGAATGGTTTTACCAAGTATGCAACAGAGACCCGTATACATAATGTAATCTGAAAGGCACACACTTTGACGACAAACCTTTAGCTGTGCTGATCGGACCAAGCCTTGAGGTCGGCTGAGACTGATAGGATTGTCTCCGTCTGGGAATAAACATTGATGCTGACGAGCTTGACGTTGATCCGACACGAGTTGGCATTGGTGGTCGATTGAGAGATGTATTTGGCACAGACTGTATCGAAGCGTTTCTGGCATATGGTGATGAGCTGGGGGTGCTTGCTGGAGCTCCAGTCAAGACCGTATTTGAAGTAAGATTAGTGCTAGAATTTAGCACGCTCAATCTGTCTTGTCTCAATTTTTGCAAATCGTGCACTTCGTAGGGAGACTCATTAACCATTTTAGCCTGTAAAGGTCTGGTGATGTCGTATAAATCAGGATGAATATATGGATATTCTGCTGGACGGAATCGAGTACCGTGATGCCTAACTAGATAAGTAATAAATCAAGTTAAGAAAGGAACAAGAAAAAAAGTTGGTCGCGCAAGGCAAACTTTCTGACATGGTCAAACCTTTTTCGCCCAAACGTAACCAGTTCTCAATAGCATCTGGATGGACTATAAGTTCGCCACGAAAATCTAGTGCCAAAGTTTTAGGATATGGTCGTAATATTTTTGATATTTGACGGATCCATTCATCTTCATCAACGCAGCCAAAATTAATAATCTGTTTCCTCAAACGATTACAGAGAAGCGTTAGATATATTACTAAGCATTTTGGTACATCATTTTGTATTATCCAGAAGAGTTGTTCCAAGTTGAACTGCTATGCCACAGCACTAATATAAAAAAGATGGGCAAATTGCGCTCTTTATTAAATGCGCAGCCTTATTGACAGAACTCGGAAAACGGAAGGGAAATGTGCGTGGAAATTGACAGGAAAGAATGCGGAACAAAAACCACATATTTTGGCAGACGAAATAAAGTCTTAGATCACAAGAAAAAGCCGTTCACCTACTTGGGTTAAACTGTCTTCAAATTGCTTTACTTGCAGTTTCTTGATACAGAGCATCGAAAAAAGTAAACTAAGCTTCACGGTCGAATTGTAGCTCCTCCATTGTTTCAGCACGATCCCCAATGAATCTTTTGTAAGTTCCAGAGCGACAGTAGTAGGAAAGTCTCTGACATTTAACTCGTTAAGCCTGTGGCGCCAGGCCTCGGGACTGGATGTCCGTCGTTCAGTGGCCATGTTCTTGTGGGGAACGCAAAGTGAAGGGGTATTTAAGCGAAAAGGCAAACAGCGTAGTGGCAACACAGTCGTATCACGTGATATGGATATAAAATGATAAATATTAACGTATCGGAAAGTATGGAATGACACGTGAAGTTAAGTTCACAAAGAAGTTTGCTTTCTGAATAATAAAAGACTTGTTGTAATTCAGCATTCATAGAGGAGAGTTTTTCTCTAATCCATAACATTCTTTATTCCTTCCAACAGCTGGCTCAGTTTCTGCTTCCGGCAACTAAATTTGAGAACTCTAAATTAATTGTTAGGTTAAGGGAATTTTCTTTGTTAGCGAGCAAAACCTGGCCTTTGGTCATTTCCAATTTACTAATTATAGGCTTAGTAAATTGATACTCGTTCCAATTGTAATTGATCTCTATATGGAACAAATCATCCAAGGTAATATTTTCTTTCTCTCTTGTTAGCTGTGACGGTGTTAAAATTGCTCAGTAAACTCGTTAAATAGAAATGACGCGTCGATTAATTGCCTCTTTCTAAATAATATTCTTTTCGATTAGGAATTATTTCCCTGATATTGGGTTTATTTTTAACCGTCTTACAGAAGTACGTGGTAAGAGTTACATCTAGCTATAGATAAGCACGCATCATACAAATGTGAATTTATGGCTCAGCAATAGGATTGCGTACGATTGATGTTTCGAGTCCTTTATTGATTGCGTACGATTGAGGTTTCGAGTCCTTTATTGATTGCGTACGATTGAACTCGCCTTTTCCTTTACATACAGTAAATAACACTGGCAGTTGAGTGAACAGGGATTAAAAATACAACCAATACAGCCATGATTATTGGAATTGAATCGACAATTTCGATAACAATTATCGAATTCTGGAGAAGTAATATGCCTACTTATAATTCACAAATATCTGATATACTTTAACGAATGATAATATTTAACAAATCTTATGTATAGCACATGTCGTCACTCTTTCGTTTTTTATTGGTAACTACGGTAACTGCTAAAGCTGCAATGTCGTCACTCTTCAGGAGAGTTGTACATGTATTGTTTGTGCCCTGAGACATGAGTTCAGGCATTGATCTAGCAAATAAAGTTGGTTCTATTACACATGCAAATATGAACCAATGCAAAATAGTTATGTGCATGAGTTCCCAGACCTACGTGTTAAGGAATAGCACGTAGATCGAATCCAATTAAGACATTGCAGTATTTCAACAAGCCGTATAGCATTGATAACAAGTGTTTCTTGGGCGAGCAATTTTTTTTCAAGTATTCAACTTTTTATATAAGATAAGAAATTGCGTATTATCCAGGAGAACTCTAAATATGCTCTTCATAGAATTTTTTTGCATTTGATTCTTATGTATACGTCTTCCGTTTTACTTTGTCATTGTTTCATCCGAATCATAGTGAAATTGGGGTGGAAATGGAAAATATTACTATAATTAAACGGGTATGCGATTTGCATAAATATCGGTTCAGTTTCTACCAAAGGTAACGTTCGCGTTTTTCTCTAACAAGTCATATTTGTGAATATTGATGTAATATAGAAAATGCAATTTATACCTTTCGGCCTACAGTATCTATAACGCCATTATTCACATATCACATAACCGTACGGATCTTCATTAATATTAATATAGCTATCTCTGATTTTCAGTGTACAAAGACGTCAAAGCTTTATTATTAGAAATCTGTATGGATGGCATGCGCTTATTGGATAGCATCTCACCGATGAAGAACGCTTTCCAGTATTGCTACTTATGTAATTAACGAATTTTATTTTTCTACGTGTGTGTGTTAACCAGTATGACTGAATTCTTGTCGCCTGATCTAATGTTATCTTCTATTCGAACAAGATTTTTCGCAATAGCTTGGCAAGCCCAAAGCTCTACCCTGGTCATGTTAGAAACGCAGACTTGTTAAAACCTCTATTCCTTTTCTCTAGGGCAAATTACAGGTAAAAACAAAAACAACTGTAAACGCAATATGTTCGGGACTTTATTCGAGCAGCTTCAATTGTATCAGTAATATGATATTAAACGGCATTCTACATATTATTATCTAAAATAAATATCTCTAGGATCGTGCAAATGACAGAGATAGCGATGGCAAAGAAGAAACCAATGTAATCGAGTAAAGTTGAAGGTAACAGAGCTTTTGGTGAACAGTTTTGTGTCATATTAATTGCCAGAGATTGAGTTACGACTTTATTTCTATATATTCTTAGTTGGTAGACCAGAAATGATTTTATTGCAAAAAATTATTTATTGACTTCACAACCATATTATTATGTATCCAACTCACTGTATCAATGAGCCTATTGCCATAATTATTTCTGCTGCTCCTTTAGAGAGATCGCACTGATTTTGCAGTTTGCAAAATAACCGTACCCATCGTAAATACTTCAGAGTCAGTAAATATGTTGGTAAGTCTGCAGCTGTATGCCAAAGTCGACGTTCTATAAGGTGCAATTTTCATTAGATGAGTCGCATGGCACCTCTTTAGGACCATAGCAAAAGAATGCTAGCGTATGCTATGAAGAGCAAGATATATTGAGCTGGTATACGGGTGCATGTAGTTATACAGGTGTATTTCAGTATTTGGGGAAGTCTCGTTTAAACGCGCATACCGTATATTATCGTGAATAAGCACACCCCTCGATCATATGAAAATGATCGGTAAACCGTCACGTAATTAACAAACTTAGGGGGTTGGTTTATAGTAATCACAGTAACCAGAATTGAATTGTACAGTATTATAAAATGATTTATAATCACATGCATTATGTAATAAACTGTTAATTAGGGGTGCGTTGTGCGGGTAATCATGGTAATCATGGGGGTGGTGCTTATTCACGATAATATACAGTGACCGTTTTTGTGCGACGGAGATCCGGAGACCTTGTGAGATCTGATGAATCATGTGATTCGCATCCATAAACAAGGAATAATACACTCACCTAATATGGGCAAAATTTACTATTAAAACATATGAAATTCAAAGTCTTTTTTCACCCACTTTTTTATAGACAACTGTCAATAAAATTACATTATTCGGAAGCCAATTGATTGTAGTTTATGAAAAAATGCATAATATTTTTATTCATATCTTGATTATGAAGTTACAACGAATATATTTCACCCATCGATTGTTTTTCGATTGTCGATTTGCTTAGTATCGCGTTCGTTGGGTAAAATACATTCGTTGTAACTTCATAACTAAGATATAAATAAAAATGTCATTTTTCATAAAATACAATCAATTGGCTTCTGAATAATTTGACAATGAAAAAAAGTATCGAATTTCACATGTTTTAAGAATAAAATTTGCCGATTCGGAGATAATTTTGATAGTGTATTTTAGATGTCGTTAGTCTTTATTTTTACCAATGTCTTCCTGTAATTTCGTTCAGCACTTTCGTAGAAGCACAACCTCGCTTCCTTACCCGTCAAGTTCTACTTGTCCAGCCTCAACAATTGTTTTCAAGGCCTTACGCAAACTCTACATTTCACCCGCCTCATACTTCTTCCTCCAGCATGAATAAATTTGCAAAACAGCTTTCAGTACGAGATTTATTGTTATTTGTTGTACGTTGTTCGGTCAAGTTTCTCAACACCTTTCCATTATTTGTAGATTGCGAAATTAATTGTAACTGGCTTTGTTGGTCTCATGTCAGTGGACCTTTTTTATGCTTGGCACCGGAACAGATTCAATGAGCGTCTTCTCAACGAGACTGTGGAAAAAGGGAATCGACCCGAACTTGATGTTTCAGATGATGAATTTGTTCCTCGACCTCAAGTTGTAAAAGATCTTAAGAACCGCCTAATAATCATTCATCTTACCATTTTGTCTGTGGTGAACATGGGACCGGAAAAACAACACTAGTTCAGGTTGCATCAAGAGAAATTGGGCAGGGTATCATATACGTTAATGTTCTGGATCCCGAAGAGTTTGGTGAAGCGTTTGAAAAAGCCCTTAACTCTGTCTTTGAAGAACATATTTCTTTTACAAAACAAATGGTGTGGAAAATCTTGGGTATAAAAACTAAAGATAAGATTATCTTTAATGCTTTATTATTATGAATAGGCATTTTGATCCCGATTTTCATCCTATAGACACATCAAGCAATTCAAAATGGGAGAAAGCTCTGGATGCCTTTCAATGTGCTGCAAAACAAAATATGGAAACCCACCGGTTATTTTTTATGATAATGTTAGCCGATTGGTTGACAAATATCAAAAAATATGCCAAGGATAATGCTGATAGCAGAAAATATGTTGCGGCATTTGTCAGTAGTGAAAGGTGTTCTTCAAAGAATGGAATGTAAGTATTTGACAATTTTTCTGATGCGACCCAAGAATTACTTACAGATTGTGATCTTTATTTTAGCTCGTGGTGCTTGGTCACGTGCGAAACAACCTGTGATGGAAATTGGTTAGCAAGGAAATATCTGACTAAGAAGCGCAATAATCAATGAAGTAGAAGCAAAAAAATTATATAATTGGTTGGTGGTCAGATTGTAGAGCTGAAGACTGTGGCGGACGATTGCATGGTTGGACAATCCTTCGAAGGTAAGGATTAGTTTTCGTTGTTTCGCATCAAATGCCTCTGCTTTTGATTGACTGGTTCTGTTTATATAGTCATTAAAAGTCAATCCTAACTAAAGTTGAGAAAAAGTTCATCATTGCCCAACTTCTTGAAAAGCAATTGCATCACGAAGCAGGAAAGAAAGCAATCAGAGCTTTATTGGACTCTAAAGAGTTGAGCTTTACAACCTTTATGAAATTTTTCTATAATTATGAAGAAGCTGAAAAAATATTGGGAAGCAACGTATTTACATATCACCCCGCAGAAAATACTGTTACTTTTCAGTCTCGAGTTATATATAGGAAACTAGCATATTCCTTAAATAGAGCATAAGACCTTGCATGGGAAAAAATCGCTCAGGATCCAAAGCCCAAAAGGAACGTTTCTATTCTTTGAGGTCTTATCTGCTCCCGCTAGCGTTATCACTATGCTTATAATCGTTTTTCACCTCTGTATCTAACTCCTCCCCATAACTTCTGTGGTTTCATCTGCGGAATTACGAGTTAAATGTTTGTGAAATTTCCGGATAGTCACATCTCCAAGACGCCTTTATTTTTTCTGAAATTATTGATGATTTGGTTCGTTTTTCTAGTCGACGGTTTTCTTTGAATAGGCGATCGAATCTTGCCAGAAAATTTGAACATCGCCGTATAATCTTGGGCATTCTATTAGACCTGGATCTTCGAGAGCCGGAATTATTATCGCGACTGCAAACACCATTTTTGATGTCGCGAACTTTAACTAACATTTGGAGCACGCGTAAAAAGTTTTCTCATTCACATGGCTTTGTTTTCAACGCGAAAATTAAGCGATCGCGTAAACAAAGAACTTGTATTAAAGCACCAGCGACGTCTTCACTTTATTTATTTTATTCACATACTGAATGTCAATGGTTTCAAGTACAGAGATGGAGACTAAATGAGAAGTTATAATTTTTGGCAAGACCGCAAGCGTTCAAAAACTAATTGCTTTGTCGTTATTGTATACTTTGTTACTGACGCTTTGGCTTTATATCCGTTCATTTATGAAACTTTGGCATGTGAATATTCACACATCTAATATGTTTGTTTCTATTCGCTTCTAACTGTTTAATTCTATCCGTTTAACTTACTAAATCGTTTACTTCTATCCACTCCTGACATACTAAATTGTTCGCTTTTTCAACACATTTGTTTGTACTGCTGTACGATAAATAAAGATCCATATAATTGAGGAAATGATTTACATATTTAAGTGTTTACGTGATCGAATAACCACCCCATATTAATTACGTATCAATTCAACAGCTTCAGCCACAATTAATTTAGTTCAATTGTTATTAAAAGCAATGGAGAAAGGATATCATATTAAAGTTTTGTTAATAAATCTACTGCATCTTAGCTGTCAAATGAGGTATTAACTATGTTGATTGTTATGGTCGTTGTTACTCAGTGATCATTTCTTTACACACTGTATATATTAATATGCGACATTTTAAAAACAGTTTAGTGGAAAGTTTCGGATAAATTTGTAGACCGTCACATGTCAACAATGCCGGATCTTCAATTCCTCGTGCGGATATTAATTCTCCCGGGCATCACTTGATTTAAATTGATGGCAAATCTAAATGCTCTAACCTCATTCTTCCATTCTGTGTACGTAAACGGATAGCGATATGACATCATGTTTGCTTTCTATTAGACAGCCAAGATATCAGCCCATGGTCATCCCGTCCTTATATGAATATGTATATGTATATTGATATGTAACTATATATATAAACGGCTTTATCATCATCCTTCGATCGATCCAATGTATATCATAATCCAAATTATACGTCACAATGTCTACTCGATTGTTCTTCGCCTATGTTTCAGTGATCATTCTCTCATCCAAGGCGCATGGCCAAATCAGTGAAGAGCAAATGACAGATCATTCTCACTCGCATCACGACGACTCAAATACAATAGTTGAACTGACGGAAAGTTATGCTACATTAGATAATCAAATTTTGTTGTGGTTACATATTATATGTATGTCAGTCGCGTTTGTTGGACTATTTCCCGCCGGTAAGTAAATATTGGAGGTAGCGTAGTCATTGGAATTAAAGTCTGGCACTTTATATAGTGTGATATGATGTGATGAAGCACACGCATTGTCTCTGATAATTTCACATCATGCTTACTTCTAACAAGGTGTGATGCTAGGTATATCTCGTTCGAGATGGCATCCATTCTTCCAGACACTAGGCACGATAATAGCCACTCTTGGTTATATCTTTATTCTCGGCTTTAAAACACAATCGCTTTACCCAAATAACTTTCATCGTAAATTTGGCTACATCCTTATGTGCATCGTTACAATTCAGTCCGTATTCGGTCTAGTCAGATACATTTTCAAACCAAAAGATGCAAAGAGTCAAGGATTCTCTCCGATTGCATCAAATGATTCTTCGCCCGAAAATTCTATATACGCAGACATGCCCGGATCAGCTGGCAGTTGTCGGTCGGAATTGTCGCAAAAACTGTTTAGCAACAGAGACTCAATAGACATAGAGTCGACCGAGATGAATGAGCCTTCTGATATTACTTGTAAAACGAGATCAACATTTGAGAGTATACTTCCCTCCAAGATCCTGGCTATTTTATCTCACGTATCGTGGTATTATATACATAAAGTAATTGGTCGAATGTTTATTCTATTGACATGGATTCAGGTTATTCTAGGATTTGTGACATACACTGGTACTTGTCAGGGAGAACCTATGGGGAATTGCTTAGCACATTACATCAAGGGGTCGTTATTCGTATGGTTTGGTATTTTGGCATTTGCGAGATATCTTGGATGTTGGGCTAAATATGGATGGGCATGGAACGACGTCACTCCCGAAAAGAACGTAGTTTCGTTCTCTCTACTTGAAGCGTCTATTGTGTTTGCATATGGAATAACCAATACATTCCTTGAGCATACCGGGGAGAGCACAGCGTGGAATCATCGCGACCTGCAACATGCGTCATTAGCATTCATGTGGTGAGTAGAACGATCAATATCAGAAAAGAAATACATACACGTGCATATATTCTAACAGAATATCAATGCAAACATTGGCTTCTTAGGTGGTGGGCTGGTACGTGCGCTATTCTGCTAGAAAGCAAGCGTGTACGCAAAATAATCTCGCGAGGATTCAATGTACCCTTCACATCGACAACATCATCACCCATCCTTAGCCCAGTTGTGGCTCTCATCTTCATAGCAACCGGTATTTCAATGGGGGCTCACCATCAGACAAGTGAATTCTCCATAAAAGTTCACCAACAGTTTGCGACTTTCCTCGTCCTTGGTGGACTGGCCCGTCTTGCTACAATTATTTTCCAAAGCATGTCCAAACGCGATTCCAAGACTAGATATGTCCCTTCCAGACCACCGACAGAAATAGTTACAGCATTCTGTATAATCGCGGCCGGATTCACATTAATGGTTGCTAATAAGGATTTGGTCAAATTGTTAGATGTTGTGTTAGGATTTGACTCCAATTTTGTGTTCAATTTGGTTGTCGCTAGTACATTCTTTATACTTTCGTATGAGATCGTGTTATTGACGATTATGAATTCGAGTAAATAGTTATGTATGGTATCACTTTACGTATTGTATAATAATAGTAATAGTAAATTAAAATACGCTCGCCTTAATGTCACACATTTTGTACCTTATAAATAAAACATACCGAGTTTACAAAGGATAAGTGGACGGTAAAAGTGTGGTAATGACTCGAGAGACTGTTGATGTTCCCGGTAATTCGCATGCTAATGCTCTGGTGGTAGGTAATAAATAGGATTGTAGCGGGTTGTTAGTTATAAAGAATTTGCTGAAATTTTCATCGTTCACACAACTGATTAAAGCTCTCAATGACTATAAACTTGAGCATGTCTAGCAACACGGAAAGCTAGTGAATAATTGATACATGTTTCAAATCGACTAGACATTAGAACTATACATACTGCATAAAAACAGTAGACTGATTAAAAATGAAAACATTAATGTACAAATATCAAATCTATGAACGCGTGACCGAGATCACACAACTGTGGCGTTTATTTGTCGAAATTTAGTAGCATGTCTGAAATGTTCGATTTATTAATCTTTTTACACAAAACTCACCTTGATGACTCACAGACCAGCAAGACAGCAAGTAAGCTCGACAATCCGTATCCTTTGTCGTTCTGTACCATAATGGCATGATCAGTTCAATCTAACCTAATCCTCGACATAGGCTGACAGTTCTGTATTATTTAACGGACGTGGTAATCCACCCGAAGGCAGTGGAACTTTTTACAATATTTGGTATAATCGATGGTCTGGTGGAGATCGGTCTGCTAGATATGCACAGTAAGTGTAGATCTTGAGATGTTGATATAGGTAGTGAATTCTTGTTAATTTGGTCTTTTATTGATATAGTCGGGGGGAGAAAGCGAAGACACGCTGTGTCCCTTCCCGCGACGCTGGCGCAACAAAGGCAGACAAGATGCCGAATACGTATTTTTGTCTATACTTTGCGCGGGGATGTTGTCCCTCTGGGTACGGGCTGCTGTGACAATTTATGCTTAACACGACTGAGTATTACAATTGACCTTTATTATATATTAGATATGAATGTAATTACTGGCATAGAATACCGACTGAGAACGATCTCGTGGATGCAACAATAGACTGTTTTGGCAGAGACAAATTTAACGAATATCGAGATGACATGGGGGGTGTTGGTAGTTTTAATAGAGAAAATAGAACAATTTATGTGGGTCATATACATCTTGGACCTGACATGGAGGTATGTTTGAATCAGAGCAGTAGGCAGGTCAGAATGATCCCTAATTCAAGTGTATTTATTGTTTTTGTCGCGGGCAGGAAATAGTACGGAAGCATTTCAGCGAGTGGGGCGAAATTGATAAGAGTAAGAACCATAAAGAGAGAAAAAAATATTTTACCAAAAAATATGGGGGAAATGGTTCCGAAGATTTGAATATGAAATCGTTGCATTTAACTAGCCGAGTAAATGGATCTATTAATTATTAAATAGTATTATTGATGCTTTCCTCCAACATTAACTAACGATGATCTACTCTTTTTTTTTTTTACAAAGTAAAAATACTTAAGGATAAGGGAGTTGCCTTTGTAACTTACAATTCATCGTTAAACGCCGAATTTGCAAAAGAAGCTATGAGCTGTCAGAGTTTAGATCATGACGAAGTTCTGAATGTTCGGTAAATATCCTTAAAGGTGCTCTCATATATATATTTTATTCAATCAATATTTATTCGACTCTTTGTTTCCGCATATTACCTTTCGCCATCTTTTTATTGACGGTCAGCTGGGCTACGGATGACCCGAATCCGCGAGCAAAAGCGGAATATAAACGCAAAGCAGAGCTTATGGCCGCCCAAGCAATACAAAAAAACCTTCCGGCGGAATTTACTCTAATGCAGACCGAAAACTTTTGGAAACGAGCGCGATACGATACTGATGGTGAGAACTTTGGCTTAGAAGGATATCAGACTCCGGCGGGATTTGTTGACGGGAGTTCGCAGAGTGCAGATTCGCAAAGTGCAGATTTGCAAGACATACCAACTCAGTCAGTAGAATTGCAGCCGCAATTATCGACGGGGCAGATAGAAAGGACGCTGATTTCAAACGAGACTCTCCAAGCTTTGAAAGCGCTATCCAAAACTTCTAGCATTCCTATTGTTAATAAAAAGAGTGTAGCGAACGGGCCTGATAAGAAAGAGGATGGTGGGGGAGCCTTGAGCGGATTAGCTGCTTACGGTAGTGATGATGACGATGACGATGACGATGGTGATGGTGATGGTGATGAAGAGGACGGGGCAAATGGACTTGGCAAAAACAAAACTTAAAATAAAATTTGTTTCCTAACTTTAATGTTTCGCTAAATGCATTAGAAGTTCGAATACATATTAATTTCCAATTTAAATGTCAACTCAAATCTATTCTTAAGCATCTGATACAAATTATAAAAGTCAAGGCAACTCATTAAAAATTAATTTTTAAATTTTGTCACTATCTCTTACAGCCAGCAGCTTGACAATCGTTGTTTTCAAGCTTACGAAATACTTATTTTCCTATCAAAGAAACGATAACCTAGCCCAAGATGATATTAATTCTGTACAGTATCACCGACGACTCCCATCCTGGAATAAATAAATAGTATGTTAAGAATGAGTATGTTTACGATGACGATTTATTGACTTACCATCATTAAATGAAACTCTTCCTCATCGAATGCAAACGCCGACAAATTCAGATACTTCGTAAGTGACTAAATGTTACACTTCACGTCAGCAATGAATGGTTGTTATCGCGATACATTTTATTTTTAACTCAATTCAAAATAGCTCACCTGAACCAGTAGACCGACATTTTCCCCTGTCTTAATAAACATAGCTCTATACATCTCTATGCTCTCTTTAACGACTTCTATCCTCTCCTTTCGTCCTTCGCAAACCAGCTTCAAACTAGCCTCCATCTATGATAGGATGTTTAATGGATCAATATAATTACTAGACAAGTGATTTAGAAACCTCTATTACCTCGCGACGTAGATAAGGCTTGGATAATGACATTTCAAATCCGATACGATCATAACCTTCGACTAATGCCACTCCCAGATTGGAAGGAGCTATATACACTTTGCTGCCTTTCGGTTGCTTCATTGCATATTGTCGGTCGAGTATCTTTGCGATATGTTCGTGAATAGTCGCATCGGTGCCTTATGATATTAAGAGTTGAAGGATTATCATCTGTATGTACGTTGCTAATTGGTTTCATAGATATGCTTACCAATGCCATTTGCATCCATAAGACTGATTAATTCTGCTTCTGTTAATAGTTCGGGAGGCGATGTAGCTCCTTCCTTCATCTCACACGATGTCGGAAGGAATTTTTCGCCCTGACGGAATAGAGGAAGATAACTATCAGACCATTTATCATATGGATAAATTTCGAGATAATTTCGTTCCAAGATAACAAGTCCTAAGAAAATTTTCCATATAAATAATCAATCCATATTATTAACAACAGAAAGCTCAAGGGCACCAACCTGTTGTACTAAAATTCTCGTCTGCTATGTTAATCTCAACGTGTGTCTCATTTCCTTTTGCGTCATCTGAACAACATGCCAGAAACCTTCTGACGATATACTCATATACAGTCTTTTCATCTCCAGTCAAATTAGTCACATTCTTAGTTGGATGAATAGGTGGATGAGCCTGATCGTTTTGATTACCCTTGCGGGGAGTACGGAACGCTCCGTTGTTGAGCCTGCAGTTGAATGTTTAGATGAGATTTGTCCCAGATCTCTTAAAACTTTGGCAAACGGCTTACTTTCTAGCATAGTCCCCCCATACTGTACTGGTTTCTTGAGCAGCGATTAATGATTTCAAGTCCATACTGGGCGGAAATTCATTTGTTTCCGTTCTCGGATAACTGATAAACCCTTTGTTATATAATGCTTCTGCAACCTATTGGTTACGATGACGTTTTATAGAACTGGGTGCAGTCAGTGACGATTCAAAAGCATATCGGCTAATAAGTAACCATTAAAAAAAGTCACTACAAAGTTCTGTCAAATAGCCTTATTACTGGCCGATGATGAGGTTGTACTTTTAGTGAAAGATTTACCGTCATTATTTTTTGAGAAGACATGCGCAGGAATCGTGTTCCAGCTTTCTGAAGCTCGACTGTAGTCAATGGATATGGTCTCCTGTAGTCAATAAATGTAGTCAAATAGTCATTCCCGTATAGGCTTGATTTCTTTCTAGTAACTATACTGACCACTTCTTGGTTTCCTTCAACTGAACTTTGATAACTGTTGCAATGGGATGTTCCACGCACTGTTCGTAAAGCACCAAACATGCTAGCTGATCAAATAGATGACCTCTCGCCCACCAAAATTCGACTTTAGATCCATCACGTTCAAGGGTGACGGAAATCTTCCAGAAAGTTTCCGTGATAAAGTTTTCGGCCTTTAAATATTGGTCGACGACAAAGCCTAAAGTTGGAAACTGACACGACCCTTGATTAACAGTGAATAAAATATTATTGAGTTATATTAATTATTAGCATAAATCTTAATAATCCAAGTTTACAAAATAAGAATTACCATAACTTATTATTTGCTTTTGTTGGCCTTGAATCAGCCTTTTGAATCCCAACGTCTGAAATCTTGTAAAGGCCGCACCAATACGTAAATCCAACTCACTTCTTGCATCCACGGCTGCTGCCTGCCGTACGTCCAATTGCACTGGTGATCTCCATGCTTGAATTATAGGCCTATAGTGGGTCCATGTGCATTTAAGTTATCCTAGCTCACAATTAAAAAAATATCGTATGTTGCAAAATAAATCATGGCACACCAGAAACTCACTGATTGCTGATAGACGAAAAGCGCGCTCGAAGCACTTGTATGCGATAGTTTGCTTGCCTACACACATTAACAATTTCTGCGCCGATATTCTCCCCTTCTCGATCGCAGTCGGTCCATATAATGAGTTTATCTGACTTAGCTGCTTCGGATGCGATGTTATCACGAATTGGTTCCATGCCCTATTTATTTTCAGATACGCAATTAAATCTCTCTATAATCAGCCCTCGTTATAAGAATGCTTTGCTAAACAGACCTTCATGACTGATTTTATTATAGGAGCTTCGAATAGACATAATGGCGAACACTTTCCCCATGCTTGATATTGTTCTGGAAAGTCTATGGCCATGAGATGGCCTTTGACAGAAGTCATAGTAACTCTGACTTCTCGATTCTCTGCATCCTTGCAAAGGAAGTCGTAATTTTTTATATATTTATCTTTCGTATTACGCTACGTAATATATAACAATTCCGTGAATTCTGCGACGATAGATTCGGTAAATAATCGAATGCGGTGACTCACACTACTTATCCGGCCACCAGAGAGTATCTGCGCAATAGACTTTGCAACAGACGGCTTCTCAGCAACACATAAGACTTTCATTTACGCAAGACACGTAATTCTTTTGATTGTCTTAACGTCGCGTATTTATTTAATGACACCAATACATCACATGACTTAATATTACTAAAATATCAACGATCAACAACAACGCCACCAAAAATATGGTTATGATACTTGCGTCGGTTATCTGAGTATGGGGTATGGCAAAAAATTTTGACATTCTATAGGAGCAGGTGCGTGATTGGAAGGCTAAGATTCATTAATGACAAGCATCCTCATATGCTTCACATGAGCCGTCAAGCAAGTATCCTGAACTTGAGGAGAACTGGTTGGATGACATTAGAGATGGACAAAAGAGTATCGTAGTAAAGCAAAGACCTTACGAAGAAAATATCCATTCAGACTTAGACTCGTTTCAATTTATGTCAAATGGTTGAGCGATTCATAGTTTCTACAAACGTCAGTTGCTTGGAATCTCTTAGTTACTATATAAACGCTATGAATATAAGCTCTATTGGCGATATGGATGGTATATCAATATGGCTTATTGTTTTACGTCCTAATTCAGTCTGATCCAGTTCAAGCGCAATTTTAAGAGTTTTTTTGTTATAAAATTTTTTTTACATAATAATCTTTTTACAAATTTTTATGTTTATAGCGTATTTAACCAGTAAAAATTTAGTATTCAGTATGCCCGCCTTTGCCTCGATGCAGGCTTGAATGACTGGTAACAACTACCTCATCAGAGTTATTCTTCTACTAATGTAATAAAAACAGCTTGTGATACTTTTCTTTTCTTTTTTTTTTTTTTGCCACCACCGCTTTGATATATTCCGCTTAGAATTGCCCAAATATCCTCAATTGGGTTGAGATCAGGGCCAAGACAAAAAAGACAAAACACGACCTGGAAATTTCAATTCAAGATCTGCACGAACTTCCTTTGAAGTATGTAGCGCCGATTTCCATACATATTCTCATTAAGAATTTGTCGGTCCATATTCTCACACAAATGTGTACAATCCAACTTTCCCACGTCACAAATTGCTCCCCAGTTTAAATAGATGTTTCCAAGTTAACAAGTATTCCGGAACATCTGCAAAGTTGTTTCATCAGAGAATACTACGCTGCGCCAATTATAGTGAGAGTGATTCTGTGCCCGTTCTAACCGGTTTTGCTTGGCTTGTTCAGTAAGAAGTGGAACACGTCTTGACAAGCAGCAGTATAACCAAGTCTAAAAGTTCGTCACGAATAGTCTGTTCACTCACTTCAAAATCTGGGTGTGTTTCTTCAAGCTGAGCATTCTAGCTGCTGTAACGAAATGATCCGAATTTACGATTCTACCGATCTGGCGACGCATTTGAGGAGAAATTTTACGTAGGCGACCAGAACGGTGAACGTCTGAAATTTTGCCATTTTTGCGAAGCTGGGCTACATATCGTTCACAGGAGCGAAGAGTTTTTCGAGAAATTTCTGTTGGGCTTCGGTAGCCCTGCTTCCATAAATTCTTCTTTCATTTGCGAAGTAATACGCTTTATTGATCAATGTGTTAGCTCAAGGTAAACAAAGAACAATCACACGCGTACTGGTAGTGACCTAATATGTCTTAGTGGCAGCTGAAATAAACACCCCGCCATTACTTTTCGGGACTGTAGCGAATCAGCAATTTCAGACAGGTGAAAATTTAGAAGAGTCCGATTATATCCTAACGCAAAAAAAAGCGCCAAATACGCACTCAAGGAGTAACAAAAACCACACACAGTTCACCAGTTTCCAGTTTGACAGCAAAAATAACAGCAAGGAAATACTTCCCCTTTAGGATAGTTCTCTTAGTGCACTTTCAAAGTCTTGTGAACGAATTACATAAAAAGTTGGTGACGTAGAGATCGACAAACATTCCGGGTGACAAAGAATGTTTGTACCCCCCAAATAGGAAATTTTTGTTCAACAAAAAGGTGCGACCCTTCACTGTAAATAGGCTTTCTGTAATCCGTCCCAATGTACTCACATACATACACAAATTCCGATTCACATTCTCATAGGAACGAAAACTCAAGTTCATGGCATTCCCGCTCTCACACACCTACATCTACTAATTCCAAACGTAAACACACTGACCCCGTTCTTCCAGATGCTACTACTCACTCCAAGCGCCAAAAAGTTTCCCCTTCCGGATATCGTCCTATCAATGACGATACGATACTAGTTCAGGATCACTACAATTCTCGACCAAAGGTCGATATCTCCAAACGTGGCGAATCCAGGATCATATTCATGAGGAATTTCAACAATTGGGTGAAGAGTGTTTTAATCGGGAGACATGCAGTGAGAGGAGGAACAGTGTTGGATTTGGGATGCGGAAAAGGAGGGGATCTGCTCAAGTGGAAAAAAGCCGGGATTGCAACATATATAGGATTGGGTAAGTTAAGTTGGGGACTGGGAGGAGAGATGGAGATGAAGGAAGTAAAGGGACAGTTGAAATGCGGCAAAGATGCTATGATTAGTGCCGTCAGGTTACAACGAAAATGGTGATTAAAAGTAAAGAAATTTAATAGAGCCAATTCAAGGCGAAGTGTGAGATTAGGTGAAACGAACGGGAAAGACGCTAACAAAATGATGAAAAAACGGATCCCCATTTTTCACGCTAGCTAATAGAGACTGTGTAATCTGTAGATATTGCTGAAGTGGCAATCAGACATGCTAAGGAAAGGTGGAGAGATATGAAAGGTATGTTGAAATGGGTTATGTACAGATTTCCGACATGTCTTTTCTGACTAATCTACTACTACTACCATTACACATAAAAAACGAAGGCCGTAAGTTCGTCGTAGAATTCAATACTCTTGACTGCTTCTCCGTACGTCATGCAATGTCAATTTTCACTTTCCTTGGAAGTCTGACATAATCGCCTTTGCTTATCTATCTGTTCCTCATTATTATTCTTCTTTCAGTTTCCTCTTTCAACCAAAATCCCGCGTACAATCGACTTTGATGTGGTAAGCATGCAATTTTCCCTGCATTATGCATTCGAAAGCGAATCCAGAGCGCGTATGGCTCTGCGTAACATCTCCTCCAACCTCAAGCAAGGAGGAAAATTCATTGGAACTATTCCGGATGCCAACTGGATTGTTAAACGGTTGAAAGCGCTACCTGAAGATGAATTGGCATTTGGAAACGAAATTTATAGTATTAGATTTGAACAGAAAGAGACATTTCCAACATTCGGACACAAATACTGGTTTTGGTTAGCAGATGCGGTCGATTGTCCGGAATATTTGGTACATTTTAGAAAATTCGAAAGGTGAGCGAATTGGGTTTGGCACACTATACTTTGAAAGGTTGGCCATTGTCTTTGCCAATTACGTGTCTAAACCATTGTTTATATTACCTAATTTACATTATAGATTGGCTGCCGAATATGGATTGGAATTAAAATACAAGAAGAGGTTTCATGATGTTTACGATGAGGCAAAGGATGAACAGATGTTTAGAGAATTACTTTATGTCATGAAGGTTATAAGAGAAAATCCAGCAGATGGAGAGATGTCCGAGGCAGAATGGGAGGCTGCAGGTGAAGTGATATTCATAATGTTTCAAGCTTTGTAGAGCGCTGAATTCTATTTTTGTTAATGAGTGTTCTGTTGCTTTAAATGATTTAGGATTGTATATTGCATTTGCATTTGAGAAAGTGCGATGATGTGTGATTTGATTTGTGAAGTGGACATTGTAAAATAAGCGCGTGTAACAGTTTAATGTGGCATTGGGGTTACTTAGTAATCAGGGGGGAGAGAGGGGAGAGAGGGGTCAATATAATAGCGACTATATAACTTTATAGATTCGATAAAAAAATGTAAGGTTTAGATTGATGGCTGCGGTCATAATTATCATTTGTAACAAGACAAAGCTTCGATCAATATAATATCCAATAAATATCCTATCAATTCAGCCGCAAGAAGGCTGAAAGTTCAAAGAGCTCGCACAACAGCACGCCCATACTTGCACTTCCAATCTGGGATCATAATGGTAATATTACCATTGTTATATATATATAATAATATATTTATTTATCTATTATATCATCACGTGAATCATCAAAAGAAAAGATGATTACATTGCACAAATTGGAACGCGGGTGATATATGTAATGATTACATCATAAATGTTTTGACCGACCTAAAATAGTTATACCGTATCACTACCGTACCCCCCTCCTTATTACCCTTGTTACCCGAACCTTGCACAAACCACAATCCGTATGAAATGTCCAAATGAAAAGCCAGAAAGGCACTGATTATGGTGAAAGTAAAAAGAGGCAAAAAACAACCTTCAACCACAGCAGGATACAAAACGAAAGGGAGAAACCGGACTTGGGTTAGGCCGCTCATGTCTCATTCGCCTGATTTGGGTAGAGTAAACCCACAGCCGTTGTTGCAGCATTCGCTGGAACATTCTCAATACGCATTTCCACCTCCCATTCAGCCATATTCACAGACTTACTCTCAAACTTATTCCGCTCCTCTAAAGCCCGACGGACTTCGCTCTACTTTTCTACCTTTTGAATCATCATACTCTGCATCGAACGTAGCCGTTAACGACAGATTGAGTTCTGTTTCCTTTATTAATACGATATATCAGAAAAAAAAGTTGCATGAACCGCCAAACTACGAGTTTACACAAGCTGGCAACGGTCAGTTTCTAGCAACATTAAATTTCTTCGGCAAGACCTTTCAAAGCATCGTACCTAGGCCGAAGAAACAAGATGCGAAGGAAGAAGTAGCCCGTATAGCCGTCGGCAAATTACAACAAATGGAACCACGCCTGGTTGAGGAAATTCAAAGGGAGTTGGAACGATCAAATAAAACTGCAAAACCACAGAGACGTATGGAGACTAGCACGCTAAAATGTGAAACTTGGCTGAAGAAACAAGATAAAAACAAACGACCGTGCGTTTCACTTCTCGAGTTCTGTCAAACTTTTAAATTTGGGACCCCGGTATACAAACAATCACACGATTTCCAAGGCAATTACATCTTTGAAGTAGAAGTAGGAAGCAAACGATTCAAAAGTACTCACGCAATGTTTAGTAAAAAGGAGGCACAAGATCTTGTGGCGAAAGTGGCACTTGATGCTTTATTCCAGGAACAACAAAAAAAGGAGCACGACGAACAAGAGATGTTTAAAATACCTAAATATTCTCCGGGACTCGCGGGCCGAGACGTCTTCAGTTCATATTATGCTGAAGATGAAAAATTCTACGACCATAGCGGTCGGCAATCTTGTTCTTACGCTGGTACAGAAAATGTCGAACCAGCTTTTCCTACAGTTTCTGGCACCTCAATTCCTGGATGTGCTCCGATAGGACAATTATTTGGTCAACCGGTCGAGCGCGAGTCCACAACTACAAGTTCATCATACTATTCCGTGCCTATCGGTGTACCGATGGAGAATGCCAGAAATGATGACCGTGTTCCGTTTCCACCTAGCTTAACGACCAGCGGTCTTGGCCCTCCCCCAAGGAGTGAAATAGTGGAGCCCATGACACCAAATATGTACATGCCTCATATGCCAACACAACATCCGCCGACATCTTCAACACACAATATGCCGCAAGTTTTTATGTCGTCGCCGAGTCAGAATTCATATTACATGCAATCACCTTTCGGCACAGCTTCTCGAAGCTCAATGTATAATTCTTCATACACATATTCTAATACACCGAAGAAAAGATACGTTAGTCTTCTATATGAGGCTGCGCAAGCACGCAAGTGGGAAGCGCCCAATTTCACCATGCATAGTACTTCAGCCGGTGGTTTTCTTGGCGAGGTGCGATTCATGGGACATATATTTTGTGGGAGAACCGCATTTCCTAAGAAAGCAGAAGCTAAGGAGAACGTATCCGAACTTGCATATAAATTCTATGTTGACAATCTTAATAAGCAAATGATGTAAATGGATGGGCGGTGTTATTTATCTCTGTTAGAATTTCATCATTTCGGATATAATTAATACTCGGTCATCTATTTGCACTATTTTCTTATTGGGTTTTCGTCATTGATAATAAAGCCATGTTTGGATAAAAAGATTTGGGCCTAAATAGATGCTAAGGTCACATATTCATCGTTTTCTCCGACGGTGAATATGGTCTCGAGCAAAAGCGCAGTATTTAGTAATTAGAAGATAATTCGTGTGGTATGTTACTGATGACTCAAACTGCTGCATATTATTGACTTTGTTGTTTAACCGGATTGTTTCGTGTGAGCTGAGGATCCCTTTAAACAACTTTGTCTATCAATGTGATGCAGATATTAAATAAAATAAAATATCTTTCATAGCAACTACCACACATCTACGATATTTAGATTGATGGCTTTGCAGAGTATCTGTGTACACAGAGACCTTTCTTGTTCGTTTCCGACTGCAAATTTCGTTTTACAGCTGAAAATCCATTACCGACAGAATGCTGCCAAATGATGCAGAAATCGACATATGAATTCTCAACGCGCTCTTAAAGCTTTACATTATGGACATACTAGGCTAAAAGAATCAACTTTATATGTTTCGATATGTTCTGGCCCACTTCAACATACTCATTATGTGCAATAAATAAACACCCGAACAAGCGAATTTATTAATGAATAGCAAATATGAATGTTTCTAATTAGTTGACGCTTTTATAAACCAGCAGCTACAGTATTTGTTAACGCAGTCGGTATTTGCAAGATGACAATGAACTCCACATTGCTTATTTAGTCTTTGACAAGAACATTTTCGTGTATTAAACTTTCTAAGTGCCTCGGTCAAAAAACTTTTTTTTTGCTAGCATAAAAAGATTACATCCACATGTCTCAACCAGCAGAGTCAAGACGTTCTGCAAGGATAGCTGGAGAGGTTGCACCACCTCTTGAGTAACCCACTTCCCTCTCTGTCTTGCGCAGGGTGAGCCAACAGAGAAGGAACAGTCAGCCACCTGCGAGAACGAATCTGGGAGAAGAGATAACTTTCAGCAACATTGATGCAGCAGACCCCACTCTCTGTGCCGATAGGGGATGGCACAGTACAGATTGACTTGGCTCAGGTTGAAAAACGCAGTTATTTGTTACCAGCACGGAAGATAAGCATGTAGAGGTACGTCTTTATCCTATGATATTGCTTTATCATTGCTTGTGCTAGTTTGCATTTACTGTAAGATATTTCGGTAAGTTCTCTATGAATACGTATTATGCTACCCCTGCGTTTTTCTGACTCATATGGTTCACAAGTTCCTACTATCATAGAACGTCGAAGTTTAAATACGCGTAAAATTCAAGACGTAGATCCTCCATCAACTTCGTAAGATACAGGCTTCTATGTGATTGTGTTGACATATGTACAATGAGTTATTTCCATGACAGACATGAAGATGGGAGAGAAACTGCTTTTCAGGATTTTATTGGACGAATCCCTTGTCCCTACACACTAATACAGGGAATTTTTTCATATTCTAAATATTGGGCACGTGATAAGGTAACTTTTCGGCAATTGATACCCTGGGACCGAAAGTGTGAGAGCGTACATCTAGGGAATAATGCATTTAGGGAGAGTATAGTAAATTCACGTGATTTCGATACTTTATTCATTTATTGGTTAAAATATTGATCTATGCTTGTTTATCGCATCGTATTAGTATTAGCTTTTTTCTCTCTAATATATCTCTCGAGAATATTTGTCATTTTATGTATTCACTTGCATTTTCTTGTAGTAAAAATGCTTGTACAGTTTCCAAGCCTTGTAATGCCGTACTGGCACTGATAGCTGCTATTTCGGTGCTTGTTCGAGTTCTGGGTATGTAACCGATCTGTGTCTTCTTGCATTTGTGAGCAATGATTTCTTCTTCAGAAAGTAACTGGTTGCTTCTTTGCGAAATTCGTGTTATGGTAAACTCATTAACCCTGACTTGCCATTTATTTTCGATCCAATTAACATACTCCGCACAAGAAAATGATATTAAGATGTTCTGTCCACTGTTGACTATTGATGTCTAAATAAATACATGACCTGATGTTAGCAGACAATGTTACTACAGAACTGTATTCTCACATCTCGAATATAACTTGACACCAAAAAATGGTTCGCTTGCGTAAAGTGGAATGATTATAGCACGGATTCTTTATTCGTTACATTTTATGATCCGATAATTTGTTATTGTCTTATGACCTGGGAATAGTAAACCTTGACTGACTATACCATATTTAGCTGCTGGGTCACGTGCGTACATTTACGTATTTTCATTATAGCCGGGACCGCAAAAATCATTGCACGTGCAGAATATAGAGAATGTGCATTTAGCATTAAGTCCCGAGGTTGGGACCATCAAATAGCGTGCATTTAGGGAGAATGCATTTAGGGAGAGTTCACTGTATATGGCACCCATACTCTGGCAATCGTCTTTGAATTTTCTGGACAACCAGTCGTTTTTTGGCCGTCGAGGGAAAAAAATGCGAGTCTTGATAACAGACGTGCTTCGGCTGCTTCGAACGTTTTTTTTCGTTCGCTGGTACCAACGACGAAGCGAGGAAAACCGTTCGTTTAGTGGGAATAGTTTCTAAGGTTAACAAAGTCGCACATCCCGACACGCATAGCATTCCTATTTATGGAGGAGTGGCCATCTGAGCGTCCAATGAAAAGATAATATTTGAGCCTGTACGACCTGGCAGGATTATTTTCTAATGGCCTATCAGTTTCCAAATCAGGGTTCTTGCATGCAACTCCCTGAGGGTGACGCGACTCTACGTACTGAAGCCATTTTTGTGGAAAAAAACAAAGCTAATATGTATATCTTTTTGCCTTTGCCTTGTTCACACAGAGCTCGATGAAGACTAATATTTGATGCTTTTAAAGTATAATCCATTGAGTATTAATGCGCATGTCGTTATCCACGAAGTTTCACATGATCCTGCATACAATTAATGTAACACTCCAATAATAATAATCGTTGATCAAGAAGTCGTGATGATTTTTAAAAATTCAACGGGCATTCCATTAGCTTAGAAAACGCCCGAGATGTCAAAATTATAAACACATTTATTGACACAGCATTTACATTTGTTCTGCGCGCAGTAGTTAAAAAGGTTGGCTGGATGTCAAATTTCTGCGGGTCACCAAATTTGTTAACTTCATTAGCCTAGCAAGCAAGCAAACCGATTTTTTTTACAATTGTCTGATGCATCGTTTTGTTACCTGATCTGCCATATGTACGAGTGATAGGAACAAATTGTTATCTTTCTCATTATCGCATGATCAGTTTTTTTCGTAATCAGCTCTATCAATCAGTATTCGAAAATCGGACAAGTGAACATACAATAATTGCTAGCGATTTATCCGTTATCAAGTCACATCTAAAAGTAACAGAAAATATTCTCTTTATTGGTTGTGTGAGTTGGTTTTCACTATTATTTCATACTTATAGTAGAGACTGTTATTGAAGACTGTTAAATCATATGTTCTCTGCGCAGCTCCGATGGTGATACGAGGCCTCTAAGATCAGCGCTGCCACTTTCACTTACATCTATTACGACGTGACCAACAGGGTCAATCGTTTCAAGATCATGTAATTTATTGGTACAAGAGATTATTCTGATGTGAAAAGTGACAGCCGCACAAGCTATCATGAGATTCGCAGTGGTTGCATTAGCAGTAGACATAGCAGTTGCAGATAAGAAGCGCGACTTTCCGTTAGATTCCATCATGTTCCTTTAATGTTCAATTAATATTTTCTTATACCCTGAAATACGTTATTGATGATTCGTTCTCTAGTAATTATCGATATACAGTCATACTCTGTTTATAAGGCCTTCTTTATACAGACTGGTTAAATTGATAAATAAATTTCCAATAATAATTTCCATATGTGTGATTTCTTTGCACTTGTCCTGATCCGCAGTAGGAACGGCGCGATATCAAAGGGTTTTAATCCTATTTTCAATATATCGATATGAGTTACTACGATCTTCTCTATATGAAATAAAAATCTTATAGATAACATTGACAAGACCCGTCTTGAATACTTATTACAGGGGGTATGCTACTCCAACTTCCAACTTTGAGCTAAGGGAAGAAGTCAAGGTTCGTACGGTTTGATGTAAATAGTAAATCCTATAAATTGTCAGGTGATGGTTGCATCAGTTAGGGTTTACCATAAAAGCGGGCATTTAGATTATTAGGAATGTCATAGTAATAGTATTGTATTTTGAGTGATTGACTTATCAAACACACAAATCGATGCCGAGGATATTAATATGCCCATTTATTCAATCGTTAATACATGTAGCCAATTCATTGCTATGCAGAACAGAAACTCCCAGAAATATGATAATTAAGATTGCAATACATAATAGCATACGTTTACAGAAATCCTATCTAACTGACGTACTATAAAACGGCGAGTACCAACAGCTAAAATAACATATCCGTCTAGAAAATCTCCAATCCTATTGGTTATTGCGCCAACACGTATATCATGGACACCTGAAAATTCGGTGTTTGATAGCTTCTTCCATGGGCCCATTGCAATAATTGACATATAGTTCTCCAGCTGTGTGATTGCGCTATTCAATACATCACCTATTGTTGTCACCTCTGCTCTGTTGTAGGGGATGTATTTCCTCTTCAACAGTGCCCCTTCTCCTTCTGACTCAAGGTTCCTGTTGAAATTGTCCAGCTGTGATGCAGTGAAGTTGCTACACCAGGATCCAGCTTCCCCACTTAACAAACCCAAGAGTGAAAAGAGCTTTAACTCTACAACAATACTCAGAGTCCGGGTATCCAAAATTGAACGTTTGGTAACAAAGAGATCAGGGAATTTGTAACGCCCTTCACCATAACATTTCCTTGAATCTGCCATGAGACAGAGTTCAGAAGCCCGACCACTGAATGGAATTAGTGACAGAAGAGCAGATTTTAGTGCACGCTCATTGACTGTTTGTAGGTCTCTTGTTGATTCACTCCTGAAGTAGTTCTTCATAATTTCAATAAACGAGTTTACTGTTCCATCCAAAAGGTCTTGGTATACCCTCTCCCTATCTTCAGTAGTACCAGCAAAATTGTTGGCACATTGCTCTTCAATTAATTGTGCAATCACCTGAATGAAAAAAGTATTAACAGTTTTTTTAATTTGACAGAAAATCCAAGGAAAGACCAAAGTAAAAGCATACCACATTCTGTATGTTCTGGTTTGGTACTATCAATCCCCCTTGTGAATGATGTGTAAGCACACCTAGGTAATAGAGCAATGAGCATGCAGTCTTAAGGCAGCTAGCATCATGCCCTATCATTGGAGCACTGAGGACTTCAGAAAAGGAAATATTGGGGTTGAATTCTGCCTGCATAGGTTCTCCTGAATAGAGAGTGATGAGGTCTTTATATTTGATTAGATTATGTCTAGCAATCATTCCAAAGAAATGAGTTGCATCAGACAAACCACTTATAAGTTCAAAGAGATATTCCCGATCATTATACCGCTCAAGAGCATTAAAGACCAAAAGAGGATTGTAGACTGGTTGGATAGTGTCAGCTCCTGGCTTGCAAAACAAATATCCATCACAAGAATGCTTCAAAACATCTAGAAGAACTGTCTTATCCTCCTCATCCAAAACAAGATACTCTTCAACTAACCCTTTGATATCTTCATCAAAAAAGCCACAAGCACTGTGAAACTTGACATCAGTTGATATATTTCTAAAATTAGCTATTGAACTTAGTCTGCGTTGGAACATTGGAGTAATACCAGTTATAAATAACTTGTGTATCACCCTATTGAATTCTCCTCCACATCCCAGCTTGAGGGCAGAGAAGAGGTTTGCATCGAAAAAATCTTCAAGAGAGGTAAAGTGTTCACGTGAAACAGGGTTCCATAGTTTAATCCCACCATTCTGCAGATAACGATTTCCAGGACGATCATACTCATCTACTGCAATGAAGAGTGTTTTTTTTCGGTCACGGACTAGATTCTTCATAAAAAAAAAAGTGTTAGATGTAGATGACATATGTACACACAATAAAAAAATTGGAATATCTAGAAACCTACAAAGATGTTTAAAAAGGACTCAGATGCAGTCTCATCAATTAATTCATTGATATCTGGGTATCCTAACTCTTCTGCATATTTTTTGATAAAGAATTTCAGCATTTTGTTAATTATTCGGTTGAAACTATTCCTCATAATGTTCATGTTTTCCGTTTCAACACTTGATAGGTTAAGAAGTAGAACGAGATGTTGGTTGGCCCAGCGTGTGGGATTTTCCCCAATGTCAAGGCCTCCAAATAGTGACTGGAAGATGTTCTTAGTGTGAACATCATAGTAAGCTGCAAGTGTGCTGACCAAGGTTGATTTGCCAAATTGTCGAGGACGAAGAAACAAAATTTTATAATCTGGCTGCTGAGCCTCAAGTAGCCTAATATATTTTGTCTTATCACAAAAAAATCTGTTAGGTGTGTTTCGGAATGCTAAGAAGTCAGGAATGCTATGGGGAACATTTGGATGGACCTGCCAAGATTATAAATTAAAATGTTGAGAATTAACTTTTGAGTGAGAAAAATCAATTCTAATTCCAGGAACATACCTCCTGCATATTAATATTATTGTCAGTTGTTTTGTACATATTGGTCCCAGGAATGTTCACAATGTGAAGATACTTTGTAGGTTGGTGCTCACTGTCTTCTTCTTGACTTCTTTTTGTAGGTTGGTGCTCACTGTCTTCTTCTCGACTTCTTTTTGTAGGTTGGTGCTCACTGTCTTCTTCTCGACTTCTTTTTGTAGTTTGCACAACTGATATTGTCAAATAAAACAATGAGCAGACCATAATGAAAAAAAGTGCATGTTAATGTTAATGTGACATTCATATAAAACATTATTACTATACTACTAAGGTATGAAGATGCATATTATGAAGAACTGGTCTATGTTTTAAATACATTAGAAAGTAAGCACATAATAATAAACAAAGACACATACCAGAGTTTACTCGGATTGGATTGTCATCATTATTGTAAAGCAATTCTACTAATTTTTGAAGACTTTTTCCACATTGAATTTTAAAATAATCATCATTGTTGATTTGGATTTCAGTGTCAGGTGTAGTTGCAGAAAGGATAAGTGTGCTGTCAGGAATATCAAGTGCTTCATTATTGACGATTGTTTGACGAAAATTTATAAGATTTTCTCCTTCTTTGAGTTTAACTACACTTATATTGCGCCCACTGACTTGATAATAGATGGGAATTGAGCTGCTCATTGTGTCCGTTAAGAAGGAAAAAAAGAAATTGGGTTGGTGCTGACTGTTGTCTTATAACTGTGACTAAGTAACGCGTTGTAAAGAAGTTTGGGTGGAAAGGTTTTGTTTTCTTTTCGTGTCGGAGGTGTGGGGGAAAAAAGTTTCGGTTTGTTTTCGTGTCGGGGGTGAAAAAAAAAGTTGTGCGGAAAAGCTTTGTTTTCGTGTCAGATGGCGTTTCAGATAAAATGCTTGCCCATTGGCTCCCTCGTGACTCAAGTTGTGCATATTGCCGATATCATACGCAATTGTAGAAAAAAGTTCTATACTTCTCGAAAAAGAACGTTGTTTTACTGGTATTGTGTAAAGATTTCTTTCACTAAAATGTTGCCAAAATAAATAATAATAATAATAATAAGCCGATTCTTGCCATAATACTAGATGGGGTAGAAAACTGCAGTATGAAGAGTTATTTATTTGTCTGTTTTTGTTCTGAATCGCTTATTTATATTTAGGTGAAGCGAATGAGTGAGTGTGTTCACTTTGTCTGGTTTGTTGCAGCACGCTATATAACACTAATTGTCGCCGTTGTTTTGATCACAAAAACCTGCTAATTATTTTCTAGTAGTCACTTTTAACAAACTATTAACAAAATGAACAAGCTCCGATTTTAAAAACTAGCGAGAGACTATATTACACTTGGAACATAAGAATCCGTTCAGCCAAAGACATACAAAGATTCCAATGCGGACTATCTATAACAACTTAAAACCAGTAACCGTTGGCGGCAGAAATTGAAAGCAATCTGGAAGCGCGCGTCGTACCTTTTTGAATCAAACAGGCTTAAGCTCTTTTTTTTTTGTTCTGCAAGATGCCACTTGGACCTGGAAAAGAATGTTGATTCCCTTTACCTTTTTCAGCGCAATCGGCATAAATTTGCTAATTTAATTCCCTTTTAGCCAATTCTTCTTATGTTCTTGGTGTGTTATTTCTCTGTTGGCTAGGCGGTTATGAAGTACTTCCTAGAGGTGTTTAGCGACATCATGGTTTGCATTTGTAGACATATGTGGAAAACGACATTGGATGATTGAATTCCATACCATAGATAAAAAATTTTCGTATTGTTTTACGTATTCCGGATTCGATGATCTAGTAATATGCTCTATTTATCCGCGTAAATTATTCTAACAGCGTTTCGCAACCGTAAGATTGTATGATATTTAGATTCCAAGAAATAGGTACAAGACAATTGAGAACAAGAAAACTGCGTTAGCTAGCTTAGGTGTGATTAATAATTTGTTGCATTGTCTTTTGAGCGTTTACGTGAGTTGCGTTCTAACTTCAAAAAAAATCATTACAGTACTATTGAATTACCATCAATCACTTGTTGTTGCCTGTACAATATAGAGTCTTTTTTTTTGGCAAGCTATATAAGTATTGCTCGGTTGAAATATTCAAAAAATTACTTAGGGCGCGATTTATACTATCGTACAAAGTCTTGGCAACCATTACAAAGATAAATATTTGAATTTTTGCACCTTATTCATATTAGCATATTATCTGTCAGAACATAAACCGTATTTTTAAACCTTCTTTTCACAGTTGAAATAGCTTGTGGATATAAATTAAATGAACACCTCGTCTCTTAAACCCTTTTTGATGTGCACATGTGAACTTTTGAGTCACTATATATAAAAAAGGATTTACTATTCTCATTATTAAATTTAATCAATTATGAAAATGAATAATTAGCGGAAGATAAATAGAAATTAATTACGGCAAAAGTCACATATTTGAGTGACACGTGCCACAAAGTTTGGCAGCTCCGTGACTCCGATCGATAGACTTTCCAGACACGCAGTGAACTGAACTCTGGACAACAGCGAATTCGCTCACCACACCAAAGATTAATTGTTAAATCCTTCTGTACTGAATATACGAGATAAACTAAAATGACTTATTTGCCAAGTTCTGTCATCTCTTTAATCTCAACTACGAATGAAATTGAATACTTGTTGGAATTCCGGCTCTCCGATAAACAATGATAGGACGGTAAACATTCCTGCTGTACTACATTCTGCCAGCAGGATAAAAACTTGGGTTGTAGAAAACAGTATCATCCACGACTATTCAAATGGACTCATCACTCGATAATGACATAAACGTAGTTATCTCAAAGTATTTTAAAGACTCGCCTCTTAACCACAAAATAGCCTCCGAATACAATTCACTCTGCCGCACCATTATTCGGCATATTCCCGAGATGTCATTCGATGAGCGAGCATTATTAAAATATGTGAAGAGAAGCGAAGAAGACCCAACTCCTGAAGGCGAACCAGCAACTCGAAAACGAAAGCGTCCTCCCAATGCGTATTTCTTGTTCATGACCACCTTTAAAGAGTTAGTAAATAGACTGGCAATTGATGAGAGTCTTGACGGTAAAAAGCGGCAAAGGTTAGGAGCAACATTTTGGAATTGTCTGAAGAAGGAGTACCAAGCGCCTTATATGCTTGTAGCCAAAGAAGCTCGAAAAGATTTTCCGCAGATGACTTACGTACGAAGACGTTCACAAAGGAATAAGTAGAATTATTTCAATCTTTGAAGTTTGAGGATTGTGGAAATGGATAGAATATTATGACAACAGGTACATTGAATAATTTACTTCGCTTTTTATAATGCGCGTATTAGAGAACGGGACATTAGATCGCAGTTTTGACAGAGGGAGTGGGGAGGTGTTGCGATTGCCCGCGGTTATTTAGGGATCCTTCGTCAATTTTGACGGACGCAACGTATCAACATAATCATTACAACCATGTCTGGGAAAATCCTGACTTTGGATTTGTCGCTGGTCGTCATGATGTAGTTCTAGTTTCGAACAGCTCTTATCTTTGATAGAGTTTCAATCTTGTGCAATTTTCCAAAATAATTACGATAGGATTAAAAATTTGGGCTCTTTTCATTTAACTCTGCATCTATATAGGAGCATTATTATCTTAAAAAGCAGACCTAGGTTTGTGTGAAAAACAATATGATTTTATAATAAATTATGCTGTAATTTACGTTCTGCACTATGAATAGCCTGACTCGTCTTAAAAAACCATTACTTCATACGCTTTAACGTTCAATCGTAGGTGCTGTTAGTAGGAAATGCAAGTTTCCATACCACTGCTACTCTAATTACCAAAATTACCGTAGGAGACGTCGGTTTTTTATGCTAATCTCTACTGTATTTTTCGATTGTAAACACAATATATTATTATTTCTATCTGTTCTTAAACATTCAAAAAGAAAGACGGGATGCCAGCGCTTTTGATGGAATAATGCAAGCTTCAATGACACCTCTGCCCGAATTGTCACGAGAGAACCAAAGCAGTTCTAGTTGACCTGATTGCATGCGGAGCCATTGATTTTATGGATCTAAATGCATGATCGTGTGTTTTTTTTCGAGAGACACGAAGACATGGTCTTGGATTGCCAATATGAAGAGAAACTTGGTTTGGTACGAGACGACGTATATTATAGATTCTTTGGCGTAGTTAACATTCTTGCCTAGAAAACTTAAAGCCAAACGGGTATTCCCGATGTCTGTCACTGAACAACTATAAATAATAAGGACGTCAAGCTATTGAAGGTTTTACCAAATTTACTTTTCGTAATAGCTTGTGTCCAATGTAATAAGATAACAGGTATTCTGATGTTGTACGATCCTGGAAAAGATTTGTAATGCATGTACCCTCACGTCAGATTTGTAAACCGTCTCAACAATCGATTCTTCGCTTAACTAGAAATGTCCGGTAGCACAATGTTACGCGATGAGCCATTATTTAAACAATTATTTGCGCAATTCCGAGAAATTTGCTGTGGTAGACGAGCAAAATACTTATATTTGCAAGTTATTATACTAACATCATCGATAAGCTATATTATTACGATAGATCAATTAAGTAGTGGAAAAAGAGCATCTGATGAGACACTAACGTAACAATAACAGAAAAATATACCGATGTCAGTTTGGCAGCTCGGGTTTCAAGAATTTACGTGTAAAGTTTGAAGCGGTTGGCTTTTCTCATCCTTTGGCTTTAAATTTTCATAAGTAAATTATTTTACTTAATTGTATCAATTGGCTCGTGTCATCTAATAACCAATGAACTTCATTTGTTTGGTTTTGCTATGTCGTTTCCGAATTTTAATTTCTCGTTTTCATTACTTTTTCTATAATACCAAAACATCTGAATTAGCAAAAGATGCTATCAATTGAATAGGGAAGAAAAATAATCATATGCGTAATTTTACAGATTTTTAGCCGACCCAAAGCCAATTAAACATCTTTAAAAAATGCCATAGTGTTGGATACATTTTTCCAAAATCGATACTTTTTGCTTCACATTTCCGACTAAGAACTCATTATCTTTCTTGCCATGAATAACTGTCTGAACCCATACTAGGTTTACATAGCTTTCAATGAATCTGGAATAAAGATGTTATTCATTAACATATTTTTCTTCAATATTACGACTTTAGTATTCTCTCACGTCTAACGTTATGATTCTTAAATGGACCAAATGGAATTGCCTTTATATCGGCAGTTTACAAACAAACTCACAATATCAAATATAGATATTCCTCGTATTAGTGAAACATGCGCACTGAATATTGACTTGAATATTTGCTATTATATTACATGACAGGATAAATTTTGATCGTTTTTCTACAAGAACATGTTCATTATGGAATGCTTAATGTGTACCTTCAAACATAGATATCTTGATCACAAAGTCACTTCGAATTGCAAAGGCCAATTTGCTAAATTATCTTCTTTATTATATGTGACTGCCTATATTCTTGCCAGTTTATGGATAACTTCTGCGGAACGTAAAATATGACGAATTTTCACAACTTCTGGCACTCACGCATGGTTTTGTCAACACGTTTGGACAAGTAAACTATGACGCTTATCAGCAGCAAGTGAGCAAAGATTTAACAGCAAGGTAGCAAGGTATCTGGCCATCGGTTACAAGTTGGTGAAAGCAAAGGCAGCCAGTGGATCAAATAATTTTCATAAGGAGATTACCGTAGCTGCTCATTTACGGTTATGTTTGACCACATAATAATAATCCATGTGCACCATTCTTATTATAAAATCGTGTAAGGTTGATTATGATTAATTGGTATACACGATGAAACAGTTAGCAAACGGTTAAGTAAGTTTTTGACAAGGCAAAATTTATGGCTGATGGAATTGCTTGCAGGCTTGAAAAAAGATACCCGGAATAAATACCGAAGTACAGTGTATTACAGCAAATATTATTATCACGAAAGTATTAACTGATTTGAGCATACATCGGGTGTTACGAAATGCATATGCATACTAATACGAATATTAAATGATGACGTATGATCCTCCCTATTTTTTTGGAATTAAACTGCCTAGATCATATTGAGGCCTATTAGCGTTGCTGGAGCGGGAAAAGAGAATCTTTATTGATTTAATTTAGATAGTTGCCAGAGTTTACACTGTTTCAAGTATGCTCATTAACACAAGTTCATGTATAGATTAACACATTCCGCAGCTAGTGAGATTCAAGCGAATTATTGCTATTATTGTTATATGAATTAGTCCAACATGTCGCACTCCTGAAATCCTTTTGTGACTGGTATTTATGGATGAGTAATACATATCATGTGATATATCTCCGAACGGAATTCCATGTCTGAAAGCTGATACACATAATAATTAAACGGATACAGTCACTGTACCACACATCATGCTGCAGAAATTAACAGTATAACAACAATGCATCGCACACATTAATTCACTTCATCTGTAATTTACACCGCTATTTGACCTTCAGTTCTTGCCCAAGTCCCTAAATTCGCTCTTTATTCTTCCCCACCATCACCTCCGCACTCTTTATTCGGCTACTCCTCCCGCTACATTCCATCCTCGGACGTAGCCCTACCGATTTTCTCACATACATCCCGCGCTCTTTATTATATATTGTAGCCTAATAATATTCACGTATTTATATTATGTAACATAATCTCAAACATAATAACAAAGCCTTTAATACATTCTCTAATAACTCTATTCACTTTTGGGTCTTGGGCATTTTAATAGATATAATTCTTCAAGAAAATGAGATCTGTTGTGGTTCTTTTGCTTCAGTTGATAATGGCCTTGACGGCCCTAACTTTACTCGTACAGGCTGCTCCTCAGGACCCCGCTCCTGTCCCTCCCGCTACTACTGCTCCTGCTCCAGCTCCAAGTAACTATTATATTAACTGATCGTATTGATGTATATGGATTATTGTTTGCTTATACCTATTAGTACTGATGATTTTCTTCTCTGCTCTTTTCATTGTCGCTAAATGACCTAAAACTGATTGTTCTTAATGTATGCACGAACTATGTCTATTAATCAAACGTCATCGATGTATGATCACTAGCCGACACAGCCGTTACTCCTCCCGCCGTTACTCCTCCCGCCGTTACTCCTCCTGCCGTTACTCCTCCCGCCGTAACACCCCCCGCCACAACACCTCCCGTCGCAACACCTCCTGTAGCTACACCCGCACCTGTCCCTACTGATACCGTCGCGCAACCAGCTACTACAATATCTACTTCACAGCCTTCTGCAATACAACCATCTTCATCACCATCTTCAGTCCCTGTTCCTTGTATTCCCGACGCAACAACTCCAGGTAATCTGACATGCACTGATACCAACAGCTATTGCAACACTACTAGTCAACTTTGTACTGCAAAACAAGCGAGCGGTTCATCGTGCAGTAGCAATAATGAATGCTTGTCAAGTAGTTGCGATAATGGCGTATGTTCGGACGGACAATCAGATGCAGGAAGTACAACAGACACGGGAAGTGGGTCAAAAAGCAACACGTTAGTTAAAGTTGCTATCACCGGTGGTGTTGTTGGACTCATAGCCGTGTTGGGCCTTGCATTCTGGGCAATCCGTTCTCGCAGAAAAAAGCAGTCAGGTGGATATAAATCAAGCGGACCTGGCGTTGCCCCAAGTGTATATAATGATGCAACATCCTTGAGCGTAGAGAAACGAACTAGTAATGGTGGATATCCATTCTCAGCTCCATATACTGGATTTTCCAGCAACAACATTCAGGAACCAGACTCAACTCATTATGTGAACAATATACAAGCATCAAATAGAGCGAATGATCAAGAAGATTACGTTGATCAGAGAATGATAGCCGAATATAATGCAGGGCAAAACACAGATCAAAACAGGGGATTCTCGAATAATGGCGGAAATTACTATTCTGAAGAGTACAATGGTTACGACAACAGTTCGTTTGATCAACGATCTCCTCCCACTTTTCCACCTCCAGCGGTGGTAGTTCCTATACCGGAACGTCAGTCACGTGAGGCAAGGATGTCTGATAATGATTCGGGTCATTCTGGCAAATTAGATTTGGCTATTGCAGCAAGAGATCTTCTTAAACAAGGCACAGGTAATCCTGAGGTCATGCTAAACGGCGATGCTGTATCCGCCAAATCTCCACGGGATTCTAATGGATCCTACATAAGCAACCAGGATGATGACAATTACCTTGCAACAGAACCGATGTATCTTGGTATTGATAATTTTGCAGAAGATGATATGCGAACTACGAAGAATAAGCCTACTAATGGGCGGTACAAGATGCAATCAATGTATTCTAGAGATTCAAACTTCTTTGCTGGAGCACAAAACGTTCCTCCGAATCCACGTGCAGTCCAACGTAGATCGTCTTCGAAGAGAACCCTCGATGCATTTGGTGGTGGTGATGCTGGATCTGATTACAGTGATGACGAGTCCATCATTTCCGTATCACGTGTTCCACAGGCATCGGTATCTACTCAACATGCACCAATATTCAAGTCTTATCAGGCATCTGCTGAGGATGGATCAAATATGTCCGAGCGGTATAGGCGTGGCAGGAATTAGGCACAAAAAAATGCGAGTTTTTTAGAAATTAGACTTAGACATTTTGAATGGATAGATGCTGGCATCTGAAAGAGAACATATATTCTAATAAGTAACAATAGGAAATAATGTCTGATACAATTGTTACTCTACCTACCGTGTGTAATTGCTTGTATGTTTTCGTCGATGTTATGCATTCAGAACACTGTCTGGTTCTGCCGAGTTTTGTATTACTATTGTAATTGTTGATAACTCTCCCTGAAATAAATCGCGACGTTAACTCTCGAGTTTGCATCACCAAATTTGAGTTAACCTAATTCGTATAACACGTGATCATACGTAACCAGCCTATTTATTTTTGCTTTGCGCGCGTTACGTGTTCTTCCGTTGTGAATAAAAGTTCCTCGCGATAGTTACGTGTTCTTCAACATATGCCAATGTCCTCCTACAGACGTAAATCCAAGCGGCTGAGATCGAATACAAGCCCAGTGAACCGGGACAACCAAGAGGAAAGGTCACGCATATTAACTCAGATAGAAGCCTTGGAATCAGAGATTGTTGAATTGCAGACTAAAATCGATAACGAGAGAAAAAAGAAGCAAGAACTTGTTAGCCCAACAAATGACATTATGTATCCTTGGTTTTAATGTATTTCACCGAGTCGAGCAGTGATATTCATTATGTATTCTTAACCTACGGACCTCTACAGACAACATTTGATACAAATAAATGATCACGCTTTAAGATCATCTATAAATCTAAAGTCTGAAGAAGAGTATAGGACTTCCGGTTTTTACTTGATGAAAAGGAAGGCCCAGTGGCCGATGCTGATGTAATATAATGTTTATTTGACAACTAAGAATTCATTGGATGTTCTAACTAACTGGATTTGAGTTCACAGATTAGAAGGCTGTCCAGCTTTACCAAGGTACAATTCTCGAAGGTGACCAATTATTTGGTAACAGCCGCCGATGGACGTACGTAATAATAAGTTTATTGTCTGTTGATTGATAACGCGTATGTCTCTACATATAGTATAGCTGTTCACTTTTTTTGCGATCCTGCTGTGCATATAGACCACATAAGGCATTACATACTCTCGGGTGCCTCTTATGGATTGCATTTTTCTGTTGATTTCGATGCCGACGAAACCGAATCATGCATCCAAACACTAAGAATAAAAATCGGAGAAAGCATAAAAGCAGAAATAGCAAAGTTTGTAGCAAGGTCAGTTTCCATAGGATGGTTTCTTGATGGATATAACAAAAGCATTGGTGTCGACGCCATTTTCATTAGAATTATTTACAAAGATCTCTATTCTTATCCATAATGTTGAGAATGAAAGAAACCTCTTTGGGTTCTTTAAGGGCTTTGTTCAATATGCAAAATTGAATTACGAGCGCACTTCGCTGTTTGACGTTCTAAAAGGAAAATACCCTGATCTGATCGCGTATAATGATCTAACTCATGGAAGGAACATGTCCGAAAGTACTTCTGACGTGGGCAACAAAATATGCCCTTTATTACGATTCACCTTAAACAGGTATTATTCAAACTATCGTTATTGTCGAAAGTTGACAACATCTGTGATCTCATGTCTGTATCTGTATACGTAGTAGTCCCAAACATCCCGATATAATATTTCTCTGGAGGAACAAAGTATCGGACAAAGGGGAGATATTTCCTGAGGTACAATTGTATCCAAGGATGCCAGAGCAGTGTAAGTTTAAATAATGCTAAAGGTTAAATTGTTATTGAAATCTCTATATTAATATGTATTTTATATGGATAGGGACTTGCTGGATGAGAAACATTTAATAGACCAGATCCCATCAAATTTTCATAGACTAGTAGAATTAAAAGGTTACAATCAGCTGTGGAAATCATGCTTAAATGTATATATGGGGTCTCGTGACAACGGCCTTGCGCGTCGGAAGGAGTTACGTGATCAATAAGTACTCTTCTTCGTTGAAGCTTCGGGCTTCTTCGGTTTCGTCTCGGGTGATAGGCCGTGCCGAGAGCCAGATCGAAGAATGTTTCAAATAAAGATTTGAAATTTTGGCCGGTGATTCTTTCTTTAATTGGTTTATTTATTCTCTGATTCTTCTCTGTTTGATGTGACGGATTCGATCATTAAAAATAACTGGCAATCTTAGCAGACTGATTGCTGACAGGTTTTTATCATCTTTAATGCAAAAGTGCAGTTCTAGCACCCAAATTCAAAAGCTGCTGGTATACAGGTCGGTTAATGATTAACTGTCGTTAAGATATGAATATAATGGGCGATATGAGAAACTTTCTGCAATTGATCACGCGTCGCGTAAATTATCCCGTGACCAAAGCCATTCAACCTGCGAGATCATAAGACTTGCAAAGCCCAAAGTCAACTTGCTGGTCTAAAAATCACATAATGCATGTGAATTCCGTACAATAACATGCACATCGCACTGTTATTGATAGTATACATTTTTTAGATTTTTTTGCGGCGCAGCATAACTCCTTTAGAATAGTGGTGTGACCAAAGTGTTTTTCCCAAGTTTGCCGTTTCCATAGTCACGACGCTACCCAAATAATGGTACGTGCGAAGTGCATGTGAGTAATCTTGTAGCTTCTAAAGTCCAGGCTGAAGTTGTACTCCTCCCTCTGACTGACACATTAGGGACAACCTAGCTTTGATATGTTATCGAGCAATCTCTAGTTTTATCGAATGCTAATCAACAACATGCATACTTCAACATAGCTATTCTACTCCTTCTTCAAGACACTCGTTGGGCAGGTCGTGACGGTAGAACTTAAGAACGACCTTGCTATTACCGGGGCCCTAGTGTCAGTAGATCAGTTTTTAAACATAAAATTGGACAACATTCGCGTCGTCGACCAGCAAAAGTATCCTCATATGGTAGGAGAATAGGAATTATTTCATTACTCTTGAAAACGGCTAATCTCTTGTTTGCATTCTGTAGATGGCAGTGAAGAATTGTTTTATAAGAGGATCAGTAGTTCGCTACGTTCAGTTACCTGCGAATGCAGTAGATACGGCGTTGTTGCAAGATGCTGCTCGGCGAGAAGCACAGCAACCTACGCCTGCACCACGTATGAAATAAGCCCTTAGTGTGTGATATATGGATAATAAAGCATGAGTTTGACTTTTTGTCATAATAAATTCTGGAAATGATAACAGTTTATTGTGGGTTTGGTATCGAAACTCTAAAAGTTCCGAGATTGATTCTCGATTAAAGCATATAATATCTTAGTTGTTAATGTCGACTATGGAGGGGATTTTTAATAACTACAGTTTTGCCTGTGAACTTCGATCAACACCAAGTTCTAACAGTTTTCCAAACGCTGATGCAAAATCGTTGAAGAAAGCTTGTTTGTCTTTGGCGTATATGTCAACGATTTCTCTAAACTTGGGATCCTTAATGAGAGCTAAATCAGCAGGAAGCATCATGAGCTCATCACCATCGTCTTTGTATTGCGTTTGGCCATTCACCGCCTTGGGCGTCCAATTCTGTTTGACAAGTTGAACGAAACTATTAATAGATTGACAGTGAGTTTCTGTATCATCAGAGATTATTGTCTTTGCGCAAATTGCGGGATACGTACAACTGGTTAGAGAAGCGTGTAGGCGTATAAGTCCAAGGTCCCACAAACCCCGAACGATCCGCGTGACAGCGACCAATTGTGTGCGCTCCAATTAAAGCTACGATCTCTCTAGTAGCATATAAAATAATAGGTAAGGAAAATCTATAACCAAAACTTCATCACAGTATGACAGATATAATTGAATTACCGATCATTGAACCCCATTCGATAAAAGATGTCACGTATATGTTGTTCGCCTTGAGCGGCGTCGGGAAGACGACCATTTGGCGGACAACTGCTCTCGGCTGTCTTGTCACTACGTCCTGGTTTCCAAAGGACAATGGGACCGTCCATGGATTCAATTGCGACGACTCCTGCCAGTGTCCATAAATCGGCATCTGCACAAGATCATCTCCATATCATTAAAGCAACTAGCAATTCCTAAACCACTACCACTCCATCTCACAATGCCCAAATCTGTATGTAACCTACAGCTTATCCAAGGATGTTTCTGCTTAATCGGTTCTAAGAAAGCCCTCGCTTTGTCTAACCCAGCGTTAGCAGGATCATTCGCTTCCATGGCGAATCTCATTGTTGCTCCATCACTGCCGCCTGTCTTTGAATGTACATCGTAAGTTCCTGAAGCGTGCCAAGCCAATCTCACTAATACTGGCCCTGCTGAGCCATCATCATAGCCTGGTTGAGGAAGAATCTTTTTAATGTCTTCGCGAACAGCAGCGTAGTCTCCCACGTTTGACATGGAGAAAGGAAATGTGTTTGTAGACAAGGGATCGAAATTAGTAGTACACGAACACGGGTTTGTGCTCAATGAGGGTGTGATAACAATGGTAACGGTCGGACAATATGATCTCGTGCATTACCAATTGCGTGTTTTTTCCCATGAGTTATAAATAAGAACATTTACATTCTCCGCAAATAATACTGAAATAAGAAGCGGGTAACTCCGCAGTAACACGTGATATACTGTAACCCGAGTATGAACATACCAAATATAAATGAACTTGAAGTAAGTTAAATGTTCATGATTAGGAGAGAAGAAAATCAAAATTGAGCTGCTCGTTCATAATAGTAATTTTCCCTGACAAGCATAAAGGGAGAGTGGATTGAAAATGAATGCATTGCTGAAAATTAAGAGACCCCTGAAGCTTACTGCATGCCCCATTTATCTCAATGCTTATTTATTATAATAATAGAGCAGAAAAATTCTATAAAATTACGAAAAGACTTTGTTGTTTATTATTAAGAACCCGCTTGGTAATTACAGCAAAGTTGGCTATTTACTGTACTATTCTGTTATGTTTGGTCGCGCTGAGAGAGCTTTTTGATCGGGGAATGTTAACGTGTCCGCTTCAATTAAGGCGGTGGTTAATGTCGAAGGTGGCTACTTACTTATATATTCCCAATCGCCGGAATATATATTAGCCCCAAAGTTTAATTAGACTATGCTGAACACTCGACTTTATTGTTAGTGCTCCCATTCTAGTATAATATATTTTCATTAATATTAAATACCGATTATATGTTGACCAAATTCATCATTTCTAGTAGAAAGCATTGGAATAAACACTGATTACATAAATAGCGCGTCGCGAACGTGGGATAATCGCGTTCTGAACCTGATCACCTTTAATTTGAGACATTCGCATTCTATTGGCTGATAGTTGATTATATATTCGATTTTCTATTTGTGAAATGAAATCAGCAACATGTGAAATGATCCTCGCCAAGTTCCGACCGACTTTTGAAGTAACAATATTTGAATATCGCATGGCACAGTTATTATTAGCTACGTAGCTTGTATTTTATCAGATCTACAGTAGCGAATGTCGTCCTCATCTATGCTGGAATGAGCAACTCAAAGAAACATAAAAAACATAGAAAACGACAGAAGCGATCTCGCTCTAATATGTCTATTCCAAAACTTAGAGCAGCTATTATCACTGGAGCAAATAGGTATTTATATTACACCGATCCCTCATTCAAGTTTCTAACTGACCAGCTTTTTTGGCCAAACAGCGGTGTTGGTTTCGGTATTGCGCAGAGATTGCTTGATCACTCTGGGCGAAATCCTGACGAGCCTATTCGGATTATACTTGCTTGTCGGAACAAAGGAAGAGCAATACAAGCTCGCGATACTTTGTTAAAAGAGTATCCAAATGGGGATGTTGTGATAGCTCTCGTTGACACCAGCTCTGTGAGATCTGTATTTGAATTTTGCAACGAAATCAAGAAAAAGTGAGAAGATATAATGAATAACCGTTGCTTCCTGCATAAAGATTATATGTTACTTGAATGCTAATTGATGTGGGTTTTTTTAGATATAAGAAACTCGATTTCTTATTTTGTAATGCTGGTGTTCTTTCTTGTGACTACATTGACTGGAGTATCGTTGCCAAACAAGTATTATTCGATCAGATAACTTTAATGACCGAAACTCAGTGTGTCGTGCAACCAGTTGGAAAGTTAACAAGCGAAGAGATTGGGGAAACATTTGCGACTAATTTATTTGGTCATTATGTCATGGTATGTGAATGAAGTTTCACGGAAAAGGTGTATTTAGAAACTAATGGACGGTTTTTATAGATACGCGAGCTTGTTGATTTACTAGCAGTTTCTGGTGAGAGCAAAGTAATCTGGACCAGTTCTCTTACAGCCAGACGTAGTGATTATGATCCTAAAGACTTTCAAGGATGTCAAAGGTTTGGCATCATCTCAATCAACTTGATTTTGCAAAAAAAAAAACAACAAAAAACGCGTTTACCGATTTTTATTATGTCTGAAAGCAAATGTCCCTATGAAAGCTCAAAGTATGCTATTGATGTAATCGCTGTCGCGATGAATGATTTTCTTAATCGACGGAATATAAAAAGCTTTGTTACACATCCTGGCGTCGTTGCCTCGAATATTGCTAGAAGTCATATGCCATGGATAATGGGAAAGATCATGGAGAATTTGTTCTATGTGGTAAGTTAACTGAAATACCGATAATTTAATAATTTTGGAGATGTGTCTCTTCGGGTGATATTATTCTCATCCGTTCTTTCATACTCGCAATAGGCACATGTAGTTGGTCTGAGTATGACAACTGGTACCGGTTGGAATGGATCTTACGCTAATTATTATGTTGCCGTAACGCCTTTCGATGAACTTGACATCTCTGTAAAATATGGGAGTTTTATTAAACCATGGGGTACAGTATACGTTCGCAAGGATGATATCGATAAATACGATGAAGGTGAAGCGAAATCGCTTTTGGGGAAGCTAAATGATCTTTTTGAGCGGTTTCAAAAAAAAAAACACTATAATACAAAACGGTTCTATGTTGATTAATCGTAATTGGATGCATTAGTGGCTTATCCGTTGAATGCAGGCATGATATTTCGTTAAACTTTTCTTTTTGAACAAACTATTTTCATTAATTATATCATTACAAGAAAAAGTCGTCGTGTTAGTTGCCGCAATCTCTATTTAATAGAATCTGTACCAATGTATAAGACGATATGTGCATAATTAGTAATGTTCACCACAAATTCTATTAAAATATCATATTTAAATGATGATCCTGAAGCATCAGATTGGTTTTCGCGTCTCACCTCTGTGTTACGAAAGTAGTTTACTCGGATTCGATTATTCTTCAAGTATTATTCACGTACAGGAAAACAGACTTTTCGTTTATGTATTCCTTAATTCATCGAAATCTTTGATGATCTGGGAAGTGTTCAATCCAAAATTAGCATACTCAATACACATATATAATCCTTTGGACAGAATGTTATATGAAGGATTCATTGTACTTGTTACGTTTTAGGTAATTCAATTGGTCAACCTTAACAGAATCCGGTAAGTGAAATTCCCCTGAAATCTTGTATTAGTATTAGTTGGGCATATTGATCGGGTAAAGGGTATTTCGAAGCAATCCAGAATAATAAGAAATAACTTGGTAGTTCAATATTGCTTAATTTTCGCTCATTATCAATCCGATCTCACCCGCATCGGAACAACCAATTTTTCACACACCATTCACATAAAGAACGCGCCGCAGCAATTATTCGTTTATCCTCAAGCAAAGATAATGACAGACTCTGACGTCGAAGAAGAAGAACTCTACTTGAGCTGGGCATTGCTTATACTGACTACTTTACTTATTGGTGCACTATGGACGAGTTATTATTTACAGATCAGGAGAATAAGAGCCGTTCACGAGACTGTGGTTTCGATTTTTGCTGGTTCGTTTCTCAAATAGACTGTTATTTGGTGAGAGAATTGATATCTTGTGACAAAAGACTTACGAATTATTTTGACGATACAGGGATGTTTGTGGGGCTAATAATTCGAGTTTCGCCTGGGTTTATAATTCAGAATATGGTTACTTTTAAGCCTGCATATTTCTTCAACTTGCTATTACCTCCGATCATATTAAACTCGGGATATGAGCTTAAACAGGTAGGAATTATTCTTTTATTTGTCAAGCAAACGTTTCTCATATTTTCTCTAATCGAGGTTCTACGAATTTTACTAGTCCAATTTCTTTAGGAACTTTGGCACTATCCTCATTTTTGCCTTCTTTGGAACCATCATATCCGCCTTGGTGCTTGGGTTAGTTTTTGTTGTTTTATTTTTCTTTCTTTTGCGCTTTTACGCATGTGATCGCTGGTAGTGCTGTTCAAATTAATCATTACGCGTGTTCGTATTGAGTAGATTACTCGTCGGATTCTTGGGCTTATTGGGAATTGTGTCCATATCATTTTTGGAAGCAATGATATTTGGTTCAATTCTTTCGGCAACTGACGCGGTCACTGTTCTTGCAATATTCCAAACACTTAAAGTTGATCCTAAGTTGTATTCAATTATATTTGGCGAGAGCATACTTAACGATGCTGTTGCCATCGTTTTATACGAGTAAGTACCATTCTGAATGTGTATGTATGTATTTATGGTATTGCTGTTGTTGCACCTACATTTTTGGATATTTCAAATTCTGTTATAGAACATTGAAACAATTCCATGGTCAAGATTTACATTTATCCAACATAGCGCGTGGTATCGGAGTGTTCTGTGGCGTGTTTACTGCATCCTGGATCATTGGTGTTGGTGCTGGACTTCTCTGTGCTTTGATATCCTTTACTATGCCGCATGTTTTACAACTGTGCAAATATTAACATATAAATAACCAACTCTTTTCATGATGGGGTTGTCCAGTCTTGGTTTAAACTTAACTCATTCATCGCACATGTTAAAGCATTCAGGTCTTTATCGATTTCCGTCTATCGAGTCATGTTTGATAAGCTTAATAGCTTACAGCTCTTACCTCTTTTCAAATGCTTGTCAGATATCAGGTTAGTTTGTTGTTTTTTTTATGGCATTCATCTATTCGGTCGTTTATCGACGGGTTACTTACTCCTTATGTGTATAATAGGCATTGTCTCGCTTTTATTTTGTGGAATAACGTTGAAGCACTACGCCTATAACAATATGTCATTACAAACTAAGAGAACTACAAAATATATGTTTCACGTGTTGGCGCAGTTATCGGAAAACTTCATCTTTGTATATTTGGGTATTACTCTATTTACCGCCACTGATCTCGATTATCATCCCTTATTCATATTGTTCACATCTGTAAGTATATTAATTTGAGAAGGTTACATAGTTGCCAAACTATGAAGTTCTGTTGTTATGTTGTTGCCTTTATGATATTGTTGCCTTTACTGATCGCGCCAATTCTCGGTTTTAGGTGTTCATCTGTGTCTCCAGATATTGCTCAGTATTTTCAATATCCAAATTGCTGAATACGATGGCAGCATATAGGGGCCAGGAAGAACGGCTGACTCGATCGCATCAAGTGATGTTGTTCTGGGCAGGATTGCGTGGTGCAGTAGCCTTTGCTCTGACAGCGGGATTGACTGGTCCACATGTGCCTGCAATACGTACAACCATTCTAGTGGTAGTTGTGCTGAGTGTTATAATATTTGGAGGGATGACTAGTCGAATGTTGGAAATACTGAAAATAAGTGTTGGAGTAGAAGAAGACGAAAGCAGCGGAGACAGCGAGGATGACGACAGATTTGACAGGGGTAACTTTCGAGAAAGACACAGGGACGATTTTTCTTATAGGACGGAAAGATTCTATGAGCATCACCAACATTCTCATTCACAGAATTCAATTATTTCAATAGAGAGTAATTCAAACGATGAATTATTGCCGGCTCACCAATCACCTACTACGGCTGCCACGGCCGCTGACAAAACCCACTGGTTTATGTCTTTTGATGATCGATTTCTCAAACCTATATTCTGTCGATCCAGCAGAGTGAACAATTCTCCATCCCGGGAACGATGGAGAAACGAAAATTTAAGAAGGCAAGATGCCGAGCCGGACAATTTTGTTGGAACGATTAATTCATCACGATCGTCAGTTTCTCCACCGAATAGAATGGATAGTAATAGAACCCCCGTGTCAAAACGTGAGAACAATACTCATCGTAGCACGTTTAGCGTAGACCAGAATGTTCAATTAGAGGATCTAAATCTGGATTCCAATAGTCCAGGCGTCATTCGGAGTTTTATCGATTCAAACATAGAATCGGACAACAGTGTTGAAGAACAATCTTTATTGGATTTATCTAAATGAGAAAAACTAGAGAAATGAATATTTTATGGAATGGACTTTAAGCCGGATGGCAATTGTAATGATTGTAGCATGAGACATGGCTACGTGTATCTATTTTATGTTTCAATGTTTCAATAATATCATAATTGTATCCGAAAACAAATAAACAAATGGATTCCTTCCCCTTGCTTGTAAACATATCTTCATATCCTTCGTCATTTGCGTAGTAAGATTGTTTCTGTCTGTAGTCTCCTCGGTGATAAGTGCAAGCTGATGCTCGCAATTGAATTGTCAGTAGTCTTGCGACAGTCTTTAACGTTAATTCAAGAATAGGATAGCAGGGTGGTATTGAATGCTGAGTAGACAGTTTACAAAAACCCCCAAGCTTTGTGATTGGTGAAACACTCGGATGGATAAAACTACGGTTACTAGTATAACGAGAAGAGAAAAATGTATATCACCACGGTTGTTATGGATCTCTTGTCTGCTAGGCCTTTATGGTAACAATATCGTGCATTAGTCAGTAAATTTGAATATTAAAGGCAATAATGTACAATTGACTACGTTTCTAAACCATATACATAAGGATAATCTTATTTCTGAGTGAAAATGAGCCGTAGAAATTTCAGCTGAAAGCACTCAGATTCCTACTTTCATACTAGTTCGGCATGCCAGGATAAAATTTGTGACCCTATGGTGTTATGTAACATGTGATAAATAAAGGCACCACAATATTCTTGTCAGAAGTACCAGGGACTTCTACCTTGAAAGAAAAAAGGATCAAAGGTCTTATACGTGTCCAAGATATTAGGAAGTAGAATCATATCAGCATCATCCCGGAAACCCAAAGAACAAGAAGCTTAAAATTATGAATGTTTCCGGAAAGAAGAAGCTAACCTCATGGCTAGCCAAAATACTGGATACAACCTTTCTGATTTCAACGGACGAATAAGCCGGAATTAGAAGGTCGCGACCGAATCCTAACACCCGATGACACGTACATAACATTTCATATAATGTGGTGATATTTACACTGTTTCATCATTAAGATAAATAGAATTATTTATCATTGTATGGAAATGGCACTTGTGATCTTAAATTTAATAATACATGTATATATAAAACCAGTGTATGCTGCTTCATACTGTCCATAATAACGTTCTCGACAATGAGTTCAGCGCTTAACGGTAATTGGCGACTCGTGCAGTAGCTTTGCTGGCTTTGAGACGAATGCTTGTGTGGTGATACCACTTTCGAGTGATTAAGCAAATTCTTGAGCCTTTCCGATCTAAACAAATCAATAATAAATTACTATCGATGTACTGTAACGGTTTTTGAAAAGCATCATTTTCGTTTGCCTCCTTGTTAACCGTTTAGTGTAATAAGCTTCTTTTGTTTTTTATGTGATCCCATATGAAATTGCTTGTGTTAAGAATTATATTCACTTACCATCAATAACCCAACGATCAATCCGAATAAGCCTAAGACACTTCCAAAGATTTCCACAACCAAAATCTTTACAAATAGAGCTGCATCCTGAGCATCAGCCAATGCAGCCGAAGAACCAGTGATACCCACAGCAATACCACAGAATAAGTTGCAGAATCCGACAGTTACTCCTGCCCAAAATAATGAATACCCTGTTTCGCAAGATCGTCATTAATAAACTGTTTTAAAATCGTAAACAACATAAGCTGTCAACAAGTAATGTACCAGTAAATCGATTTGAAACGCGATCAAGTTCAGCATCCGTTATATACTGCAGCTTGGCAGAAAACACTATCGCCATAATGACACCATAAATTGCCACCACTTCACAAAAAATGATGCTGTTTCGATTAGATATAAATAAGAACGAAAAAGATCAGTTGGTAACCATTACATTGTAAATGATATAACCACTATCATTTGATCTTCAATATAATACCGCTCACCTGATGAGATTTTTCGTCCTGATACGTGGAGCCTTGACGGCTGCACCAAGAATACTTGACCCCGTGATAAATATTCCCCTGTGGATGACAATCCGGAATGAGTGTTAACAATTTAATCACCATTGAATAAATTGTTGGCTCGTTACGCTTTTAATATCTTAACGTCACGAATAGAATCGTAATTATGCAATTTTGATACTCTTTAATATTCACATAATTTAGTTCTTTGCCACATCTCTATTCGCACTCACCAGCCAGCTCCAACAACGCTAAGCCCAATCGCAATCGCTATGCCTGTCAAAGCCCACCAGTATGGGCTTATCAAGTCGAACCATAAGCCTACGCGCAGGTTACCCGTTATCAGCAATATAAAGAAAATTATTACAAATATTGTAATAAATGATGAAAGTGTATATCTCAAACAACTGACTACCATTATGTTATTCAAATGTGGAGAGAGAAGTGCCGACCAACTCTCTAATTTACTGATTGCATATTATGATAATCGGTAACACGTCACGTGCCAATTATACATGCTATTTTGATAGTGACTCTTGTTACTTTTTTCCCTTCTCGTGTAGTGGGGGGAATATGCTTGATTGATCATAGTCTAGAGCGTAGTGTATGTAATACACAGTAGATATTATGGAGTCCACAATATATATTGCGTAGTTTCGTTCGATATAGCGGGGGATAACAAATAGAGAGAAGAAAGGAAAAACCAGATGATATGGATCTCTCACAGTCTAGGGATAGAAGTAGCCAAGAAACTCCAACAAACGTGTTTCCTTGACTGGGGCAAAGTATGTGATTGATAAATAATAATAAATCAAGGGACTTGGATTACTAGTTATAAAAAATAAATAGGAATAAATGATAGATGAGGAAGTGGTCAAGTTTGTAAGTGGCGAAGAAGCTCAAGAGCAGAGAAGAATGAAGAGTCAAAATCCTTGGCAAAATGATCTCTTGGGGGACTGATTTTGTAACTATGAAAATGTTGAACAGTTTAAAGCATCAAATTGTTCGAAAACAACAGCAGTCTAGCAACAGCAGTCTAGCAACAGCAGTCTAGCATTATTAATACTTTCAAACCAATAAAATCGATTGATAAGTTGACGCTAATTAATTAATCTGTTTAATTAACTTTAAGTTATTATTATGCTTGATCACTTTAATCGATTGACTTACACTATAAACGAGATATCCACAAAAACTGTTAATATTATCATGTGATACACACCATAGCGAAGATTTTTTGTGTCCACTATGAAGAGGGTATTGTGTACATCACATTAATATGTCCCACCATCTAAACGTTGTAAACGATGTTGCTATGCTATGGTGAATGGAATGCGCTCAACAAGAATGTATATAATTGAAAGGTTGCCGCTACTGATTAGGTAACGGAATACAAGTGAAGCACCTGAATTGAAACAATCTGATAACGAGACAATAGAAATTGAAAGTTTTGTTAACAAAGCTTATCTGAAACACTTAAGGAATAATGATTATGGCTATTCTGGTTAAATATTGTTTAGCATTTCTATTGTCTGTTGGTTATAAAAGAATGCTTGAAATCTTGAATTTCATTTGAGAAATCGAATATCTCCAAACGATGAAATTGATAGATAACTAATATCGAATATTTAAAACGAAAAAAATCAATATAAAAATAATTGTTTAAAAATTGACAAATCGAGTCGAGGAATCGAATATATACAACGACAAAATCAATATATTAAAACTTTTAAATTTTGACGATCAATATCAAGTTAAATTTCTGATAAGAAAATTATTATAGGTACTCTCTCAAAAGAATATACAAAGCGGTTTTTTAGACGTAAGGATATCCATGATGAAACAACGTAAAGGACAAAAAGGTACTTTTTTTTAAAAAAAAAATTCATAGTTTTTTCTATATTCTTAACATTGTTTTATTTTTTCAGTTTCAAAGATTGAAGCTGGAGATCAGTACGAATATTCAATCCTTAAGTTATTAGTTGATAACAACATTGAATGTAACGCAACTCGAACTAATTATCGTATTAATGGTAAATTTATACCGATTGGTGATGGTTGTATTGATTTATTTGGCAATTATAAAGGAATGAATTTTATAATGCAATTGAAATATAAATCAAATGGAAATGTTGATCCTGAAGAAATTCGTGGTTTTAATCACGCATTATTGAAACAAGCCGATGAAGTGCAAGGATTTTTTGTAACCACTAATGGATACTCACAACGCGCGCAAAATGAAGTTACTAATTCTAAATCACGAATGGTTTTATGCACCGATAAAGATATTATTGATTCGGTTTTTTCTACTTTTAAAAAGTTTGAACAAACAAAGCATAATCTAGTTAACAAGTATAGGATTAAAAATGTTGAATTAGATGGCGTTAATAATCTTAATTTGTTTGGTATTAAATTTAAGGGTAAATGCAAAATAGGAAGTATTGGTTTTAGTAAACGATTTAATCCCTATTAAATCAATAAAGAAATATTATAGCCTCATTGAGGCCTTTCTTCGCGTAAATATAAAATATCAAACAATCAAAACAATTTGTTGATAAATGTGAATGTAGTTTCAATGAACCCAATTCCTTTTCTCTTAAAAATTCAGTTGATATTTTCCAGAACCTACGTTAAGTATTCTCACAAATGATCAAAAAGTTACTAAATATTAAAGTATTTGACATAGTTGTTGAAAATATTTCAAATAATTATAATAAAGTTTTCGACGCGTTAAATTCGTTATATATACAAAATTATATTTAAATATCCTATTAAAGAATATAGTAATAGTAAAACTAATCAAGACCGCGAAAAACTGTCGAACGATTTGACTTTTAATTATCAAAAAGTTGTACGTGAATACAGTCTCAAATCTTACTAAATGAAATACTCTCAACTACTATTACAGTATTATAAGAATAATAAATTTCATGTCGATATATTGGATATTGAATTGTATGAAGAGAACGTTACTAATTAGATTGGAAACGAAGTTTCATAATTTGTATGGCATGTTTCTGGAAGAATTCAATTACCTAGTAACGAAAATATTCTGTCTTTATTACCAATGAATGATTGCTCAATTCTATATTCGCTGAATCAAGTTAAACTGTTGTTATTATTACAATTTTGCACAATGTATGAAAAATATTAATCCAGATATTATCATTGGATTTCGTTATACTGTGGAACCTCCGACCATATGGCCAGGGAGGAAAAATATAGTGCCTGCACTTAGAGAAGCTGCACTTGGGGAGGTCTCGCAGTATTTGGAAAATTGGAAAAGTTTAATTTATTACGACGGATATCACCGGTCGAGTTTATGAAGTTGAACAGCTTAAAAAGTTTAATGTTTCTGCAAATACAATAAAAATAAGTACAACGAAAAAACATTGATACGCGGAGAGAAGTTCATCCTAAAAGAAACAAATCTTGAAGAAAACTTGGTTTTATCACCATTAGAATTATTAAAGATGTATCCGAAAATCAAAAAGTTTAATAAACTAGCTAAATTCAATGAAGAACTGTCTCATTATCATCTGAAATGTATAAAATAATCAGTAATTATCGAAGTTATCAGATATTGCTTGCGTTTCATTATATGATTCTTATTATTATGCTGGCGACATAACAGTTTGTAGTTTAATTGGCACGTATCTCACAGAAATGTCAATGATAAACAATTCTTCAGAAGCTGGGAAATATTCTATTTCCACCAGAAATAGGTCTAAGTAATCAACGTCCTGTTACTGGATTGGATTTCGCTTCTCCATACCCGAGCCTGGTAATTTATCTCCAGAAAAAAAATTTTTTATTATTAGAAAATGATTTTCAAAAGTACAAATTTTACACAAAATCAACTTCGAGTTCAATAATAATAATCAAGACGAAAAGGGGATATACGCAGTTCTTCTCTGGGTGAGTGCAATGAGATGAACCGTCAATTGGAAATACTGAAGAAACAAAAAGAAGAATGGAAGTTGATAAGAAGTGATATGGTGGAAGTCATCTATACTCGACAATTCACGTGATTTGTTTCAATTTTAATTGACCAATAATATTGTAATATGATAAGCAAAAATTAATTAAATCGAAACATGCTTTTCTTCGAAAAGATAATAATAATATATTTAGTTTCGATCTACCAATTTTAACCAATTATATGCTACTAATATGATTACGTGGTTGAATTAACATAATATAATAATAAGAACTTTAAATCCCTAAAACTTTTCACAAAAAAATCTAATCAAAAATCTGACCGGTAACTTTGTAGAGCTTGTTATGAAGAACAAAGTTATCAGTCGGATTTTTGATATCTCATCTGTGTAAGAAGTTGAAAGACTTTAAAAATGCTTTATTTTCATCACGTGATTGTCGGGTATAGATGACTTGCACCATATTAAAGAGGAGTATAAAAAAATATTGTTTCAGTATTCTTGCGTTCGATTCTCAACAATTGGCATTAACGATTTACAAGACTAGTTCCTGAAACGGTGGGTAGTGTGATTCTACTTCATCCCTGCCTAAACTTGGCCACGGCGCCACCCAGAGAGTTCGTATGTGACCGCCCTTTGGACAGTAAAATATTAAATTTCTCTATATGTGAACGCGATTTTTTCAACAAAATGTTATTTCGAAACTCGATTATTGGACAAAGATGATAAACAAACAATAGAAGTCATGACAAACACTTAAAAATGGCGTATTTATTTCCGTATATTTTGGAAAGAAAAAATAGTGATAGTACACACAGTGAAACCCGTTTTCTGCGAGTCCTATTTCTCTTAGTGCAACTCACGTGATTAAATACGTCTCATTTACAAAATAATGGTATAATAATACATACAGTGAACCCTCCATAAATGCACCCTCCATAAATGCACCCTCCATAAATGCACCCTCCATAAATGCACCCTCCATAAATGCACCCTCCATAAATGCACCCTCCATAAATGCACCCTCCATAAATGCACCCTCCATAAATGCACCCTCCATAAATGCACCCTCCATAAATGCACCCTCCATAAATGCACCCTCCATAAATGCACCCTCCATAAATGCAC